ACACGATTTCACGATGTTTAACAAATAGTCCGATAAAATACAACTTAAGAAGACTGAAGTCATTTAAATAAGGTAACTTGAGCCTAAAAAACGTAAATTTGCAAAAATACACCTTTAAATACCATGCGATAGCACGAAAGAAACCGCCAGAAACACAGTGCTCTGCAGTTTCGCGTCAATGTTTTGCCACCCAGAGAGCCCTATCTCTGTCGCACTGTGTTGGTAACGCGCGTCTCTCTCTAAGTTACTTCCATATAATATTATTTCTATGGTGTTTGCTAATAAAGGACCTGCTTACAAGAAACTGGAGCTTAGAAAAAAACTTCATGAGCAAATGAAAGAGGCGGTAAACGGTAAAGTGATACACTGATACAAGAACAGAGATCGTCACGTAATCTCTAATTTATAGACCAATTAGCATTTTACCTAGTACGAGTGTATCAAAAATCTTTGAACATGTGATAAACAACAATCTTCTGTAATTTTTAAATAAATACGAAATAATTGATCCCTCCCAACATGGTTTTACAAAAGGCAAAAGCTTAGACACTGTATTGGCAGATTACCTTGGTCAAATATCGCAATGTATGAACAAAAATATAAGTAAGTCATGAATTACTGCTTCGTAAATTAGAACGCTATGGGATAAGGGGTACAGCCTTACAGTGGTTCCAATCATATCTATCAGACAGAATTGAAAAAGTGTTTGTAAATAGCACTCTTTCTACAGAATCGACTGTCACTGTCACTATCTGGCTACCTCAAGGATCAATTTTTGGACCGACTCTGTTCATAATTTTTATTATTAAATGATTTATTAAAATTGGCAAAGAAGGCGTCAAATTGCACTGTTATGTCCTACGCTGACGATGCCAACTGCATTATTACTGGTACAGACGTTGATATTATTAGAAACAAAGAAAAACTTGCATTTGCAATTTTTACTAAAATGACAAACTTTCAGGATGTTACGCTGAATTTAAATACAGCGCTTGTTAAGTGTTTCGACCCCATCAAACTATTAGGAGTCGTTTTTGACAACCATTTATAATTGAATCTTATAATATGATTCATTTATTTAAATGTACAAAACATCAACAAAATTAATCAACATTCAGATACTATTTTCTATCTGTCAACCTTTATCTAATCAGCCCACTCTTCTTGTTTCAAAACTATTAAAGGGGTTCCGTTACAATCTTTAAATACGAGTAGATCAATTATGCTCCGAATTATCTTCGGTTTGTTATGGACTGAAGAATCTAGCGAGACAGTGCAATTATTCTACAGTAAAACAACTATACTTTGCTTGCTTTCAAAGTCTTCTAACATACGGCATCATTCACTGGGGGCACTCTCCTGACTTTCAACGAGTACTTATTTATTTTACAGAAATGGGCAATTAGAATCTTAGCCGGAATAAAAAGTATACACTCTTTTAGGTCCGCAAAAAAACAGCACGGAATCTTAGCATTACCACATACATATAAAAATATTAACAAGTTCGTGCCGTTTTTCGGAGTGTCAGTGGATTTTGTTTTGGTCTTGAATTGGTGACTGGACAAGCAATTTTCCCAATTTTTGCAACTTGCTGATCTTCTTTTCTTGTCATCATGCTTTTGGCCGTTATGCGTTTGTTGTTTCTTTTTTCTTCTTTTATTATATTACCGGACAAGATTCACCCAAATTCTGTGTTTTGATCCATGAAACCATTGTTTGTTGTTTTGGATACCTACCGTTGAATATGATGTTGCGGTATTCTCCCGAGCCCAGTAATACATCAACTGGGCCCTCTTTTTGGAAGACTGAATCTGCAATTATGTGATTCTGCCACCAACAGTTCTGTTGTGAGTGTAAAATCACTTAAAGATCGTGGAGCGCACTTTACTGTAATTCTGGAGTTTGATTTGTTCGGTATTCTCTCTTCAACCCCAGTTATATCGGCTTGAATGTGTTTTCTCGGTAGTGACAAGTGTATTGTTGCTTTTTCTGTTACGAGCGTTGCCTGTGAACCTGGATCAATAAGATCTCGTAAATATTCGTAGGTTCCGCTTACTGTCGGTACCCTTAATATTAGCGCTGTGGCGAGAAGTACTTGTTTATTTTCAGTTCCAACATGGCTCTGAATTTTCTTCGTTGTGTTCTCTTCAGAGTTTGGAGATTGTTTGTTTGTTGAGTTGAATGTTTTGTGTTGCTTAACCTTTGGGTCACTTCTTTGGTCGTTGTGTAATAATGTATGGTGTCTTATTTTACATTTGTACCATGATCTGTGCTGAAGAATTGTTGGCTTGCATCGTGGTTTAAGCAATTTGTACACAGCTTTTCATTTTCTATGACTTTTCATCTGTCTTCTGGCGATTCGGCTTGGAATTGGGGACATTCGTAGATTGAATGAATATTTCGGCAGTATTTGCAAAATTTATTGTTGGAAATTGTTTCCACTTTGTCAATCTGGGCATTTTCTTTCTTGTTTGCGGTAATTATTTCGAGAGACAGAAGTGTTGTCTGCAGAAAATCCATCATTTTTTCGAATTCTTGCATATCGTTGGCTGTTTAATGATTGTTCGTACAGCCTGTTTGTTTCTGTGTCCCATTTTTGCGAGATTATTCTGGTAAGCATTGGTTCCCATGTTTCAGTCTGAATGTCTAAATTGTTTAATGCTTCTAGACATTCTTTTCGTTGTGTCATGTAATTCCTTCATCTTCTCTACTGACTCTTCTTTGTACTTGGTTGATCAAAAATCCTGTCTAATAACTTACTTACGGTAAGCCTTGTGTTGCTAAATCTTTTAGCCAACAGCTCCCATGCTGTTTCGTAATTATTTTCAATTATCTGGAGATGTTAAATGATTCTGCTGGGTTCATCTCTGATATAGATTTTCAGATTCTGCATCTTTTCAGTCTTGGAGAGCGATGTGTTGTTGTGGATGACTTTCTTGAATAAATCGTGGAAAGTGGGCCAATTTAATTTGGGATAGTTGTATGTTCGGTTTCTCATGTTGATGGGCGGACGGTGACAAGATTTGTTCTTTCAATTTTCCAACCACAGCCTCGTACTTCTCTACAGCTTTCTCGAACATCTCGTCGGCAAAATATTTTTCTTCGAAATCAGTTTCATGGACATAGATTTCTTCATGCAGTTCTACGATGCTTTTCCACTGACCTTGGATTTTTTCGGATAGAAGTTCATAGGTACTCTGTTGTAGTCTTAAGCTAAATTGTTGTTTATTTTGGTCATTTCGGCAGAAATTTTTTATAGTCTGAACAACTGACGTCGTATGCGGGTTTCTTGGTCCGGGTCGACGTCGGCGGACGGCTGAAGTGACCCGAGGTATTTCTTTACATCTTCGTGCAACACTTTCAATTGATCGAAATATTTCACTTGAGGTACTTGTGGGTTGTTCTGAGGGTGGGCCCCAGTATCTTCAGTTAAACTTCTTGTAAGGATGCAATTTCACAGCCCGAAATTGTAAACTTGGAAATGGTACCGGATTAATGAATCGCAGTCTCACAACCCGAAAATTGTAGACTTGGAAATGGTGTTCTAGTAAAAAAAGAGTGGTGCCACCGAACTGCAGTTTCACAGCCCGAGGTTGTAGACTTGGAGGGTGGCACCAGATAGAAAGGAATAGATACCACCGAACCCCAGTTTCACGGTCCGAAAAATTGTAGATTTGGAAACTGACACCTGGTTCAGTAATGGGTCGAAGGACCATGGACAATTCTGGGGTAGAATTGTGTGGAGTGAGTAAAAAGCCAATGAAGCTTAATACTAATTTATTCAGAACAACCTAACTTATTTATACAAAACTACATATTTAGGTACATTATATGAGTATTTCTAAACTAATGGTAATATTGGATACGAAAATATATGGCATCCCAGTTTCTTGTGTTTTCTTTTGTTCTACTACCGCTTTCTTCGTAAAGCTGACGATGGTGCTGATATTTTTTAGGTTTGCTTATACCTATAGGTACAGTTGGCTAAAAAATAATAATGAATGAGTCAGTTTATTTTATTAATTAAATTAGGAACGGCCCACTCCATTTTCCTGAAAATTTGGAAATACAATATTGTTATTATTAGTGTTAAACTGCCCGAATCAAAGTTGATATACGTATCCTTACAAAAATATGATGACGTCATCACAAAATTTTGTAAAGTAAAAACTCATTTGAAACATACACGTAGCACGCTTATTGTTATTTACTTTAACATTACATACATATATTTGTTCAACTTATAGGTATAGGGGTTCTCAATGAAATTTTATAATTTTTCAAAAATGCTGGATATGTTTCATTGCACTTCAGGGGCAAGAGAAGTTCTATCGAAACAATTTTCGGTTTATTTTTTCCTTATTACAAAACTTCAATTCCAACACTACGCTGTTGTCGATTGTATTTTCAAAATACAATGCGGTGTTGGTTGTTTTTTTTATTTTTGCGTTTATTTGTCTTCTTTTTTTTTTGGTAATTTATACATCATGTGTCAGTAGTGAATGGTTCTTTAATAAAATAACAATCACTAGTTAAATTAATAATAATTTTTAAAGTTTGATTTTGCGAAATTTTTCAGGGTGGCAACATTGTTAAAATTGTAATTGATTACCATTGATTACTATTACAAAATGCAGTAAATTACTTTGTGTAACCAGTCACTGTATTGCAATTTAACCAACTTTGAGATTTAATGTTTTCCATGCAAACAAGAATCCTACTAGTTCCTTAATAGTATTTATTTCTGACGGAATATATATTTGTATTTCAACTGATCTTATGGAATAATATTTTAATTTTAATGTTACGAAACACTTTTAAACTAACATTTTTATTTCGGTAATTATTTCAAAAACACCGAGCTAATCCGTTCCATAGCATTTTGAACTAGTGCGCCAAATCTCTGGCCAAATCATCGACCAATGGCAACTGTCATTCAACTTAACAGAAAACCACACAAGATAGAAAAAGATAGAAAATTGAAAACATGTTTATTTAACACATGTTTTTCTCAAACCTATGCCCAAAGATATTGGAAATAAAAAAATGTACCTTCTTTCATTACCAAATCTGGGACAACCGTCTGCTAGAAAAAAATATATACGACATTTAATCTAAAACTTTTGTGACTACACACGATGGAAAGAGAACTACTCATGAGTGTAAGTAGTTCAAATAAGTAGTTTGGAAAGTAATATAAAGTGCAAACTGCAAAATGCGACTATTGTTTAACTAGCAACTAAAAAACAGGCATTTAAATGTAACTATGTAAACTATATTATTTCACACAATTGTGTAGGAACAAAAATGATTCTTTTGTTGCTGTTTTGTTTTTTGATCCATCAAAGTTATGAGGTTACAGAAAACACCCCTTTTAATCCACGGGGACCCCTTGTGAAATGTTCCTTTTTGCCATGGGAGTTTATTACGTGTAAAGAACCAGTGGATCATCGAGGTAACAGAACAGCCAAAGAAGAAATGGGACACGGTTGTGTTAAATTTGGTGGTATGAGATACGAAGACGTAGAACGAACCAAAGTTGAGTGTACAGTTTTGGAGGATATAGAATGTTACGGAAATAAGACTTTCTTTAAAGAGGGCGTGGCATGTGTTAAATATTCAAACCAGTACTTTACAACAACTTTATTGTATAGCATCCTTCTTGGTTTCCTGGGAATGGACCGTTTCTGCTTGGGTCAAACAGGAACGGCAGTTGGAAAGTTACTAACTTTGGGTGGAGTTGGTATTTGGTGGATTGTCGATATTGTTTTACTTGTTACTAATAATTTAGGACCAGAAGATGGTAGTAATTGGAATCCATATGTGTAACATAATTTATTAAGACTAGTGTAAGATAAATAAAAATTTACTTTTCACAGTAGGGTTTTATTTAAAGCAACATCATAGTATAGTTGCAATACAAAAAGTATTAACTTAAGTTAGAGAATTTATGATGCTCCGGCATTTGAGTTAGGTCCACGACGACGTCCAAAGGTTGCTACAACATTCACAAATCTCCTGTTGTACTGAATACGCCTTTTTGCCCTGCCGGTCTTCTTTTTCTTCTTCTCTTGTTTCTCTACTTTTGGTGTCTGACCCTTAACTTTTCCTAAACAAGAAAAAAAAATGAATGCATTTCTAAATAACATTCAATGTTTAAAAAATGTCTGATACTTTTTATAGCAGTTTTATACTTCATAAAGCTGCCTCAAACAGTTCATTATTATTTTGCAAGTTTCAGGAAGACTATTATTTACGAAAAACAATAATAATCTGCTGTTACTTGCTAGTTAACTTTTTTGTGAAACTGTCTTACCTGCACGGGCTAGTGAACCATGCACTTTACCACCCAACAAGCCAACTGTCAATTCAATGTCTGTGCTTTCGAACGTCGAAACCAGACTATCATCTGAAACGGGGACACCACTGGCATAGAGACTAATTTCGTTAGCTTTTAAGTTTTCCAAGGAGGCAATGCGATCCTACAACCACCAACATGAACAACATAACCAAACTTTGTATTCAATATTACCTTGATTTCAGCAATAGTTTCATTGCTCTCGCACTCAAGCACGTGAGTTGATAATCCACGAAAACACAACTGCATTTTGTTGTAATCTGGAAATTGAATAAAGATTTATAAGATACACCACATGGTTTGCATCAGCATTACAATATTTAAATGCTTCACAAATCAAAAACTTGATGTTAAATGAATGACAATAAAATATATATATGTGAATATTTTGAAATAATCAAATTAAAAAAGAAAATAATGGAAAACTTTTGGTTATTTGTCTGAAAACATACCTTTCGGGAACACTAATTCATCAGAAAGAACTCAAGACCAAGATGGCTGCTCTAAAGGAAACGGAAACTTACCAGTGATCATAACTAAAGTCCCTAAATTAAAGGCGGCACTTTCAAAATAAAAATTACACGTTGTTTTTATATTAATTTAATTTCCAAAAATTAACATTATTCTTACACTCTAGAAATTCATAATACTTATAACACTTGTCCCATCCACACCTCAATCCAATTCGCTAAGTTTCTATAACCTCACTTTCTTAATTAACTGATTGGTATGTACTTGTCACCAAATTTTAAAACCTTTGTTGGAAATTTTGTTGCTGCTGAGATCCACTGTTGTACATCATCTGTTGCTGATGGAATTCTTGTTGCTGCGATATAGGAATAGCCTAGACAAAATCAATATAATTATAATTACAAAAAATTCAAAAATATGTATTTGTGGATTAACCTGGCCAGGATGTGTAGTTCCCGATAACCGGACCCTTTTTGCAGGATTACCGTGATTGTCCCCATTCGATGCCTGTTGCTGCTGCTGCTGATTTTGTTGCTGTTGCTGTTGTTGCTGCTGCTGCTGTTGTTGTTGTGATTGCTGTTGTTGTTGCTGCTGCTGTTGTTGTTGCTGTTGCTGCTGCTGTTGGTTTTGTCGTTGTTTATTTTCTGCTTTTTCTTCCTGATCGTCATCAGTTAAAAATTCACGTTTTGGGTATGGAATGGGACAGCCTGTAACAACGCAATTAATTTGCAATGGTATGAAGTAATATATTAGTTACCTGCAAAAACATCCTGCGTTGGTAAAGGATCTTCTGAAAAATATGCATCCTGCATTGCTTGTTCTGACGTAATTCTCTTATTGGGATCCATTAAAAGTAATTTTTGTAGAAGATGAAATGCTTTACTATCTGGTTTGATTTTGTGCCTATCCATATATTTTACTAATGAACAGTTCATATAGCTACAATAAAAAAGAAATGGTTAAAATGTTAATCTAAGAAACTTCTTGACTTGTTGAAATTAAATAAATTCCAGTATGTTGTGAGTGTTCTATTTTATGACAAAATAATAAAAATTAGTACCTATTCTTTTTAAAGTCCTTCATTAATGTGGGATGTTCTGGCATTTTTTTAATATCTTCCCAATCTTTTTCTAAAGGAAAGCCCATAACATTAAATATTCTGTCTAATTGATCATGGTGGTAAGGATTGCTGGTTTTTATATCTTCTTGGCGGCAGTGGAAGATTGGTTCTGAGGTCAATAGTTCAGCAAAAATGCAACCAATGGCCCAAATATCTTTAAACATTTTTTTAAACACATGTTAAAAATTGCGACAAATGTTTACCTATTGCTTTTGTATAATGACGAGCACCTAACAATAATTCAGGTGCTCTGTACCAAAAAGTGACCACAACTGGATCTAAATCGGCTAGAGGTTTCAAAGGTGCATTGAAAAGCCTCGCAAACCCCATATCAGCTATTTTCACACGCCCTCTCTCTGGTCCTTCACCCATAACAAGAATATTTGCGGGTTTTAAATCCCGATGTAACACCCAATTGGAATGTAAATAATGTATACCATCCAAGATCTGATATAAGAGAGATTTTACCATTCCCTTGGGCACCATAACAGGCTTTTTATTAGCTTTAGCAGCTCTGTGAAATTTAATGATATGCCATAAATCATGTTCGGCAAAATCAAATAAAAGCCATACTTTTCTATCGTTGTGGGACAAGAATACTCTAATTAGGTTAATGACATTGGGATGCTTCAGTTCTCTCAAAAGCTGTAATAAACACATCAAGTTGAAATTTGATTACGCACATCAACTAATATTTACCGCTATTTCTCTACAGGCAGACATTGATAAACCTGTGCCCTCGATTTGCTTTAGAGCATAATCTCGACTATCCGAGCCGTCTTTGCGTCGGCCTTTATACACATGACCGTACGTCCCTCTACCAACTTTGCAACCCTCATAGTCAAATAAATCTTCCACCTTAACTCTCTCATTCTGAGTTTTCATTTTAAATTCGTAGTCCATCATGAGACTTGTCATAATACAGTAGCGGGCAATTATGAGAAGCACTTCCAAAGAAGTGCTGCAGAACTCCGTTTGTTATATCTGCTCACTAATGAAATTTGGTGCTTTGGTTGTCTAAAAATATTCTTCAATCTTAATATAAAACGCTTAGATTTCAGTATTTGTAAATATAACCAAAAATTGTTGTTGTTCACAGTGACATACGTCAATTGTGTCAACAAATGATCGGCTTTTAATGCGCATGCTTGACATGCGCAGTTATTTTGGTGTAGTGGCAATTTGAAATTGAAGTCATTTCAAATTATACATTTTTTCTTTTTTTTATAATATCGTGGTGAAAAGAAAATAAAAAGTTAAACACCTTGGAAAGTTATTTGATTCTGTTTTATTGATGAAGTGGCTTTGAATGGTGATATTTGTTTGAATGAGGTTGTCAGGGCCGCCAACGTCGCCGACCCAAAAGTTTCCAAATTCATTTTATATGTGGGAAATTCCGGTCGGAAAGTTGGAAAATCGTACGGTTCTTTTCGAATTTCCTTTTGCGAAGGACTTGTAACTGCCAATTTTGTTTTCATGATTCCGTTTGTTTAGGAATGTAAGGTGTCGGTGTGTTTTTTTTTGTCGAATTAACGAAATCGCTGGGACGTGAATTTCTAGTTATAACCAGTTAAAGTGGTTAAGTTACCTGCATAACCAGTGAAAAGTGACTCAATCAAGTAGTTCGTCGGCATTGGAGACCGCGCCATTTTGCATCGGGCCACATTTTTCACATTTTTAGTCTTTCCGGAAATTTGCAGAAATGTCAGGCGAAGAAACTTCAGCAGATCGCAACGTAGAAATATGGAAAATCAAGAAACTTATTAAAAGTCTGGAATTGGCTAGAGGGTAAGTGCAACGTGGTTGGAATTCCATACATTGAACATATGCCCACGAGTAAAAGAATGCAGTTTTTTTGACAAAGAGGTCTAATTTTAAATTGTGTTTCGCAGGAACGGCACCAGCATGATTTCGTTAATTATCCCACCCAAGGATCAAATCTCTCGGGTTAGCAAAATGTTGGCCGATGAATTCGGCACAGCCTCCAACATCAAGTCTAGAGTTAATAGATTGTCAGTACTAGGTGCAATTACTTCAGTCCAGCATCGCCTCAAATTATACACTAAAGGTATGTAACAGCTGTTTCAGATGGACAAATAGAAAGTTTTCGTTACATGTGAACTTATGCAGGTCTTATCATTGTGACTCAGAAAGTACATAGTTTATTACACACTTGTAAATTTCATTCCAACATGACATATCAGACACGTAAAGAAATTTTGGATTCTTCAACAATCACCCGTTTCCATAAGACCTTGAATTTTTATCAAAATGAATTGTGGGAACCTTGGGATAAAATCGAGGACAATTGTCTTAGTAGTGCAAATTGAACAAAAACGCAATTATTGTAATTTGATAGTCTTCGTTAACAAGTTCGGTTAATTTAGTTCATTCCTTGGTACATTGTACCATGCATTTATGAAATCCTGAAAGTCTGTATTAAAATCCAACTCTTTATAAAGAGCAAGAGTTATATGTTTCACTATTGTTCAATGTAATTATTAATTTACGTTTTAACGTTGGAATTTTTTTTGATAACCTGATTTTCTTTGTGTTAATTGAAACAAATTCTCATCATGGGTCAGGGATTGATGGCCATAATGTAGTTTAGTGAATAACTGACATACAGACAACAGGGTGTAATAATAATTCCAACAAAAAACGTGGTGGGGGTAGGCAATAGCTTGTCTGGTATATTGGGAGGTGGTCACATGTTTAAACATTTCCAATTCTGCTGTCAGATATTACTGTGTGCAAAATTTATATAAAAAATAAATAACCAAATGAACGAATAAGAAATTGCAGAGGAAGAAATAAACAAAGCTTAAAAATATTTCCCAGAAAAAAATGTCACATAGAAATAATACAAATAATACTGCGCTTTATATGTGGTTATAATTTTTTTTGTGAATTAATGTCATTAGTGGACTTGAAAAAAATTCGGCGACAAGATTAAAATTCAAGTTATCAGTACGCTGTCATCATAATTTGGAATTTTATTTACGTTTACCCAGTTTTTGATAGCACTCTATATTTTATTGAGTCATTTTAATTTTCATTTTCCACGTATTCACAAAGATACGACTCGCGTGTCATGTTTGAATCGTATTCTGCAAGGTTTGAGCAATAAAAAGTTTTATTTTCATTTACATACTTTGCTAAAAAGTAGTAATAGTGTGTGTACAAAGTATACTCGAATATTTTTAAATAATGTTTTGTTATCCACCCCTGGAGTACTGTCCAGCAAATACAGCTTCTTCGAAAAATGATAACATTTGATTTTGCGATTTTTATTTTTTTCATAACCCCTATAAATTATAAATAATCGAGGCGGATTCCACACACCACAAGTTTAGAATTGTTATTTTATAAAATTTAAGTAGCATTTTTAGAATGCAAAATTTTTTGGCCACGTCATCAAATTGTTGGGAGAGATAATCAGTAGAGAGCGGATTTCTGTCGGGCTAGACAAGGCCAAACTCGGTACGGCTCGTACGGGATGGGAATTTATTGCAGTTACCGGCTGCACTTCGTTTATTTGAGATTAGAATAACGCTGCTTCGTTGCACTCTGCTGTTAATTCCAGTTCTCATTTACTTAGCCGTTTGATTAATAAATCGTTAATTGTATTTATGGAATCAAGTGAGAATTAAATTCAGTGATTACCTATCACCCGCTACTGAGTCCCGGCGATGCAGCGCGTCCCCACCTATATCGTGACGTAGCCCGACAGAAATCCGCTGTCTAATAATCAGACAAATTTTGGTTATCGTTTTATCGTCTACACGATATTCTTACTATGCAAATAAAATTTTGTAAGATTAGTAGTTTTGGACACTGGCTAATAAAATAGACGGGAAACGATAGGCAAACAGATGAAACGGGGAAATTGGCGTTTTATTTTGTAAGAAATATTTTATTATAATCTGCGTTCAATTTATTTTGATTTAAACTCCATTCGAAAAGGCCGCAATATGAAAAAAAAAAAAAAACACGAATATCTTAAACCAGTGATTTTTTTTAAGTATATCGCGATCTTCACGAGTACTGAAACACAGTCGCGACCAAAAAATCTTGGACATCATTTTTCTGTCATTTTGAAAATTTTGATGTAGAATATGCTTTATTATCGCTATGACGTTTGAAGTTTAAAAGTTTTGTCACGTCGCATTTAGTATTAGCATGCCCGTAATGTCAAAAATGACAACTAAAAAAATTAAGTTACGATATTTAAAGGTGTTTTACACTTTGTGACGGTGGAATTACATTGAGGTCCAAGGTTTTCTGACCGCGACTGTATAGAAAGTAAATAGGTCGCGAGCTCTTACGCTATAGAAACCATTATCATTCTCTATTTTAACTGTGAGGTCCATTGGGCGACTACTTTTATGTTTCCTCGACGTTTCATGACCCGTAGAGTACGAAAAATTGGTTTCCTTGTTTCCGTGAGTCGTTTGTCGATTTTTATTAGACAGAAATTTGCGTAACTACCGGACCAATTGTCGTCAAATTCTATGTATACAGGGTGTCCCAGAATTCGCGCCATTCCCGTGAATGACATGTTCCCTGTCCCGAACTGTGCCGTAATTCGCAAAAAGAATTGTCCAGGCTTTAACCGTGTGAGAACTGGAAGGCGATTAAGTTGACCAATAGAGAGGCTACTTTTATATCCGAAGGTTTCTATGTTCAAAGTTACCTATGCCAAAAACAAAAAATCGGGTAATACTAAAGTTGAATGAATTTTTTCCGAATCCCCCTCCGTCAACAAAAGGAAACAGAAGTGTGGTTATAAATTTAATCATTTTGACAATTGTTTGTCATAAACTGTCACGAAGTTCATCACTGACCTGAAGAGACGCTTCTGCGCCAAAGATGACTGATTAATGTACACAGAGACGTCAAGGTTTACTTTAAGGCAAGTAGCATGGGACAGAAGTTATTTCTGCTGCCATTCTAGTTAAATTGTGTTTAACTGGGCTGTACATTTCATAAGAGAAGCTGTTTCATTTCATCGTAGGCAAATAATACATTTATTACTATTCTACATAGCGTAGATACCGAAGAGCAGGTATTAGAAGTCATTTTCTTAGAGCCTCGGGAATAATGTGTTGTTCTTTTTAACGAAAATTAGTACATTTTTAGAATTCACTATGCAGCATATCCCTGATATTAAGTTTATCGTTATTTCTAAAAAAGAGTACCACACGTCCATTCAAAGAACGTTATTAAGTTTACTAAAACATAAATATCGCTTTTGATTAATCGGTGCTTATGATTTTCAATAAACAGTATCAATTTTTACTGAACAGCTTTGTTGCTGATACCTAATCTAAGCAACGAAAAAACAGACGAGACTCCACTTCTCTGGTGTATTGAGATCATAGGTATCTGCTGTGGTGTCAATCATGTGGGGGAGATAATGAAAACAGAGACTTATTCAAGAATAATATTGATGTTGCATATGATTTAAAACAGTTTCTTTAAAGTTGTGCTGAAACCATATATTCCGCCGTACATTCAAAGGAACGTCTTCCAACAACGTCGGAAGCTCTAGTCGTAGAAACTTAGCATATACCTCCCCATTAAGGTAATCAGGTAACACAAACGGCCCCACCGAAATAAACAGGAACGGAGTTTAGTGATAATTTTATCAGATGCATTAAAATTTGTACCACACTAGTACCAATGATTCCAGCCCATAGATTAATAGTAAATCGCTCCTGATATGCTCTCACCCTAGTGAGATGTGAATTTTCGTGTGCCCAGAAATGCCAATTGTGTGCATTAAACATTTCTTCTCGGGAAAATGAACATTCGTCGGTGAAAAGAATGCGCCGTGAAAAATCAGGATTTAGTTCATTTTGTCGCAGTAACCATTGAGCAAAATGTACTCGTTGCGGGTAGTCGGCTGGTCGCAGATGCTGCACCCTCGTGTAATGGTAAGGATGCAGTCTTCTCTCTTGTAGGATACGATGAGTGGTCGATCTTGAGCATCCACTCATTTGCGCTACGCAGCGGACATTTCTCCTAGGATCCGCTTCCATGTTTTCTAACACTTGCTCTTCAGCACCTACACGTACATTCCGTGGAAGCCCAGCACGGCCTTTCCGACTAGGCTGAAAAGATCCATCTTCTCTTTAGTACACTTAATAACGTTCTTTGAATGGACATGTGGTACTCTTTTTTAGAAATAACGATAAACTTAATATCAGGGATATGATGCATAGTGAATTCTGAAAATGTACTAATTTTCGTTAAAAAGAACAACACATTATTCACGGGGCTCTAAGAAAATGACTTCTAATACCTGCTCTTCGGTATCCACACTATGTAGAATAGTAATAAATGTATTATTTGCCTACGATGAAATGAAACAGCTTCTCTTATGACATGTACAGCCCAGTTAAACACAATTTAACTAGAATGGCCGCAGAAATAACTTCTGTCCCATGCTACTGGCCTTAAAGTAAACCTTGACGTCTCTGTGTACATTAATCAGTCATCTTTGGCGCAGAAGCGTCTCTTCAGGTCAGTGATGAACTTCGTGACAGTTTATGACAAACAATTGTCAAAATGATTAAATTTATAACCACACTTCTGTTTCCTTTTATTGACGGAGGGGGATTCGGAAAAAATTCATTCAACTTTAGTATTACCCAATTTTTTGTTCTTGGCATACGTAACTTTGAACATAGAAACGTTCGGATATAAAAGCAGCCTCTCTATTGGTCAACTTAATCGCCTTCCAGTTCTCACACGGTTAAAGCCTGGACAATTCTTTTTGCGAATTACGGCACAGTTCGGGACAGGGAACATGTCATTCACGGGAATGGCGCGAATTCTGGGACACCCTGTATAAAACTTCTATCCCATTATCCCATCCCCACCAATAATTTGGTGACGTACGCTCATTATGTTGCGTAATTAAGGTTATCTAAATGTCCTGAAATAATATATTTCTGCGTAGTTATACTCGTGGTTTATGAATCCTCCATGACTTTTACAATTACTTTACAACAATTTTTTGTGCAAGCTTTCCACGTGTTTAAAGTAGCCAATATCTCGCTTCCACATCACCACTTCGTCGAGCATGGAGATCGGTAGGAAATATTAGGACTTGTGGTTTGACCCGTCAGGGTTCGAATCCCATCATTACCGGATTTTTTTTTTTTTTTCATTGTGGCTGGTATTTTCTATTTCTTTTTACGTTTAAAAAAATGTTCCTTGTTATTTTCAATATTTTTAAAATTTGAATTTTCTTTTGATCGTTTCTATAATTTGTGAGAGGAAATCCCATTCATTTACAATCACTGTCACTATTATTTAGTTCATTTACGTTTTTCCCAAATATCGTATGAACAAAAGTTTTAGGTAAGAATAAAGTGTATTCTTCTATCTTGTTTAAATTAAAAAAAAAAACCTAAATTTACTTATTACCAAATTTTCAACATTTGTTCTGTTTCAGCGCCAAAGTGCAAAGAAATAATTTTAAAAATGTTTTTTTTATTCCTTTTATCATTTCTATTCTCATAACCTGATGTTTGTCATATCTAAAACATTTCAATTTGTTTTTTTTTTTTTTTTTTAATAGAATAATTGATTACCTAAAATTTCGATAATATTAATTGCTAATCGGCGACTTTTTTTGGGAGACATCGATTTAGAATTAGGAATTATCGGAAGTGAATGAGATTAACCTGAAACTGTCTTGACATAGATAGGACGGATTTAGATATGATAAGCAGAAATCAACAGAAAGTGGTTTAAACTAAATTTCTAAAATATAAAACGTTTGAAAAAACTACCGATAAATTGCAGTAGCTTCGAAATTACAGGATCCACAACCAATAAAACCGAACGAATGCTGATAATGGTAGTCAAGAAAACATAAAAATGTGAAATTAAAAGGGTATTAAAACTTTACTAATTTACCAAATCATAATCCCAACAATAAAAAATAAAGCTGATTGCATTTTCAAATCATGATTTACGAGATGTCGTGGTTCTATGGAAAATTTAAGAGCAGAAACAAAATCCTGAACTTGCTAGGAGGTTCATGATTCTGGGTGGTTTTTCTAAAATTATTATTTCATAGTGTGTTTCCCATTTTTTTAATGTGAAATTTGAAGTTCATGATAAAGGTTACATATTTAAATAATGCAGCACCTGAATTTAATTTCGAAAATAAGACTGTTTAACAAGAACGACGAAATATATGAGTGACTCCAATTTTATCAAGCATTGAAAAAAAAAACATCCAAACTAGACGCTTATATCCGTAATTTCGTTTCTAGGAAAGAAAGTACAAAGTTCTCATTTGTCTGCCATTTTGAATTCTATTTTATAAAGCAACATACTTATCATCTCATTTTTTTAATCGTATCAATCAACTGAACGAAATAAATTGTTGTAATGTTGCAACACATGGTATAAGGTGCTATCGTTTGATTTTTTTGGTGACTCACTCCACTTGGAATAACTCAGATTTAATATTACCAGTATTTTTAACTTTAGAAATGAAACGTTTAGCGATACCGTGTGCTGTGCGAATAAAAAAATTATTAGGTGATTCAAAAGTCTTAGAGGTCATTTTCCACGCCCACATTTTTCACCAACTGAACGTACAAGACAAAGACAAACACGAGACGTCCTCCAAGTTCAGTTTAAAAGTCAAACATGTTTGTCAGTTGACAGTAATTTACAATAAAGTATATATAAACAGGAATTACATTAAGCTTTTAAAATTTTTGAGCATTAATATCTGACATTAACGTCTTAAAATTCATGAACGTGGCGCCAACATCGAGTTGACTTCGCGTATCATAGCTCTCCCAAATTTATTCGTCATAACGTCTTGCAGTAATTTTAAATGAATATGTTCAAGAGTAGTGAAAAAATAACATAAAACCGACCAAAATTTGTATGTTTTCATACAGAAAACCTTATTTGTAGCAAGTATTAATAACTTGTTGTCATAAACACGTTTAATTTTTTCTTTTATCATTATTTTACTGTTAATTGGTATCATGAAGCGGTACGTATGTTACCATCCTTGACAAAGGTATATATTTTAATAATGCGTCAATCATAGTTATACATATTAAATCTAAGCACGATATTGCTTTTAGTTCATAAGTAAAGTATGCCGAATACAAAAAACCATGGCATTGACGACAGAAATCTTTCGTAGTCTAAAACGAGATAAAAGGAAGATCAGCAAAAATATATCAACACGGTCATTTAGTCTGACACTGTTGTCTTTTAATACCTCATTCTATTTGTTGCTAGATTTAGTCATATAGTATAAGACGAATTTATTTTTCTAATTTTGTTCCAAATTTTCTAAAGCTAACATATTACATGAAGTTATCCAGATGGTCTTCTACGTGCACTTTTTTAGTCCCAATGAGTTACTAAATGCTTGAGGAATTTAATCATATTACTTACTCCCCGGCATGCAAAAAGTATGCTTCAAATGTTTACTGTCATTACATTAAGCATCTGGCGGAGTGTTTTATGTTGCAACTGTTTACTGGAAATTAATTAGTTTTATATGATGCTGCAATAAAATGAAAAAAAACTAAGACATTTTTAACATGAAAAAATCTAAACACATCAGTTAATCAAAAAAGTAATAAGTATTATATAATTTAAAAATTTTAAATTTTGTATGCCCTATGCTTACTAAAATCGCCCGACAGGTCAATGATCACGCGAAAGTCGCATAAACAGCCCTATTGAATCCATCAAGCTTGTCGATACATGATTGTCTATCAATAGGAATTTAGGTTCGTTGTTCACGCGCTGATCACACAATATTTACATCATCTGTTTGACCAGTCTAGTATAAATTTATGAAAAACATTATGTTAATTAAGATAAATCAGAAAATTTAGTGACAGTATTTTTAGTACAAGAAGAATGTTTGAATTAATATAAATTTGATAGCGTTTTGGGGTGTAAAAACTAAAAAAATATCTCCTATCAAACTTGTAGAATTAACATCTCTTATTGTTAGTTTATAAGATAATCGGACTATTGTTCAAAGGTTCGCTAATAAACAGGTAGGCGATTTAATTTCCCACATGATGGCTTTTCGTACCACATATAATTGTTTCTTCTTTATTTTCAGTGCCGCCGAACGGGCTAGTGATCTACTGTGGAACAATCGTAACCGACGAAGGTAAAGAGAAGAAAGTAAACATCGACTTTGAGCCATTCAAACCTATTAATACCTCTCTGTACTTATGCGACAATAAGTTCCACACGGAAGCATTAACGGCCTTACTGGCAGACGACAACAAATTCGGATTTATCGTGATGGACGGTAACGGAGCTCTATTTGGTACGTTGCAAGGCAACACCCGAGAGGTACTCCACAAGTTCACGGTGGATTTACCGAAGAAACACGGCAGAGGTGGGCAGTCCGCTTTACGTTTCGCTCGTTTGAGAATGGAAAAAAGACACAACTATGTTCGAAAAGTGGCCGAAGTTGCCACACAACTCTTCATTACTAACGACAAACCGAATATTGCTGGACTGATTCTGGCTGGTAGTGCTGATTTTAAGACTGAACTTAGCCAATCTGATATGTTTGATCCTGTAAGTTTTTTTTTTTTTTTTTTGAAGGTGGCATATGGTGTAAGCAAAGAAAATTGCGTAAGGCAAAAAAGGCACGATGCACAATTTCTGAGTCATAAACTATAATTTTATAAATACGTTTGTAGTTTGTATGTGTGATCTAAATGCATGAAGAACTGTCATCAAATATTTATTCATCTTTTATATTGAGTTCGTAATTTCGGCTTTAATCGTATTATGATTTTTTTATTTCCATTAGTAGTTAGTTATACAGGAACTGTGGTCTCACTTTTCGTCAAAAATTTGCATGAACTGTTTTAGACATATATATCACAGAAAACGCTTATTTCTTTACCTATTTTTTACCGCTAGCTTCTTTTATTGTACATTATTTTTTTGCAATTTATATTATTATTATTAATCCTTTTCTTCAAACATGAACAACTTAACGGGCAGTATTTATGAGAATTCAATGCCTCTCAGACTTGATATTTTTAGACATGAGTTTGGTGGCAATGTAGATAAAATAAGATTTAAAAAATAATAATAAGAAGAAAAACCTAAAATATTTTTCTCGGAAGTTACTTAAAACACGATAAAAGGATAGGTTAATGTGTGAACTATTTTATTTTATCAGTTTTCTCAGAATAATTTGATTTAGAAATATGATCGGTTTATCATTGTTCTTATCAGAATTAACAAAAGCTAAAAAAAAAAATCTCAGACTTGCTACAAAAGATTTTAGAATGAAACAACTACATAGATTTGTAGGCGCAAGTAAGTGTGTTGATAATTTCACAAACAGCCGTTTTGGCACAAAAATGAACTAATTTTTACCACAATTTCCCTTGTCCCTGAAATACAGTCCAGCACATACAGCTTCTTCAAAAGGTTATAAAATTTGATTTTGGGAATTTTTGTATAGTTTAGTTTATATATATAATTTACAATTTTAGCTCACATTAAGTTAGTCTAAAATTATTTTGACAGAAGGACAATCCAACAAATAAGTTTAGTTTCCTATATTGTATAATAAAAGTAGGAGTGGTTTATTAAACTACAGGTAAAGTGACATCTATTCTGTATATGTCAAGTTAGATTATCATAATAAATTTTGTGGTGACGTCATCAACTTTTTAATACAGATAGATTTATCAACTTTTGTACGTACAGTTGAATATTAATAACAACAGTACTATGCTTACATAATTTTATGACAATTAAATAACGACTTCTTGATTTAATATTATTGCCTAATTCCTAATTTTTGGAGACTTCCTGTATAAACAATTATTAAAAACAGGATACATTATGAAACCATAAATAAAGAAGCTTGTCACACTACAAATTTAAAGCGAGATTTATTTGACAAAATTAGAAATGAAATATTGAAGCATATTATTTTGCACATTTTAAAATATTTTGCCATGACGCAAACAAATTTTTGGTGGTTATAATTATACAAATTTAGGTTTGTGTTTTACTAGTTACAAGAAATTCTTAAAGTACCTAACTTTCGCCCGTGAAGTAAAAATTGTTAAAAAAGGTAATTTATTGAAAAATACTCTTGTGATTACACAATAAAAACGTCTGTATTTAATACACTCGTAACGTAAACGAAACGTGGACTGTTTTTGACGCCAAAATAAACACCATTTAAGATTTAACAATGTAAGCAATGATTATTTTAGTGAACTACCTGCAGTGTTGAAACCCCAAATTTATTTATCGAATCACGTTAAAATTTTCAAATTCCAATGTGCGTGTTGTTAATTATTTTGCGATTTAATTTGGTGTCAGGACGAAAACTCCAAATTTACTTGTCTTTACTGGTTGCAAATGTACGACTTTTGAGTATACATACTACAAATTGTGTAATATAAAGGTATTTAATTATGTACATTTATTTTCCTCGGAAATTTAGCAATTTTCCCCTAAATTGTAGAACCTTATTCAACATTATAATAATAATAAAATTAATGGTAATAATTGTAGATTAATTGCCCCATGTGTTGGTAGTTCTTTTGAAAATTTGAAAGACAGTATAAAATTTATCCAATGCACAATTTTTGCTTTATGCTGCTACATTTTTTCTGCCAACAATTCACCAAGCGCAAATAAAATTGAACGTATTTTACAGAGATTACAAACAAAAGTAATTAAACTCGTGGACGTATCGTACGGTGGAGAGAACGGCTTCAATCAAGCCATCGAGTTGGCAGCTGAATCACTGCAGAACGTCAAATTCATCCAAGAAAAGAAACTGATTGGTCGTTACTTTGACGAAATCAGCCAGGACACGGGAAAATACTGCTTCGGTGTCGAGGACACACTCAGAGGTCTCGAATTGGGAGCCGTCGAAACGCTGATCTGTTGGGAAAATCTCGATATTCAAAGATACGTTTTAAAAAATCATACGACGGGATCCGAAAACGTTCTCCATTTAACGCCGGAACAAGAAAAAGATAAATCACATTTCACGGACAAAGACGTATGTATTTTTCTTTGTTTTTTGCTCCATAATTTTACCCTTGTTTACTGTAGAGTGGAGTTGAATTGGAATTGGTGGAGTGCCAACCATTGCTTGAATGGCTTGCAAACAACTATAAGAATTTTGGTGCTACCTTAGAAATTATTACAGACAAATCACAGGAGGGGTCGCAGTTTGTTCGAGGGTTTGGTGGTATTGGAGGTCAGTATCTTGATTTTATTTATTGTATAAATGTATATTTAAAAATAGTTGTACTAACTTATAACAAAATTTTACGCTGCTTACTGGATAGGCATTCTACGTTACAAAGTGGATTTTCAGTCTCTGCAAGCCGACGAGCCTTTGGATGATGTAGATCTTGATGATTATTAAAGGTTTACATTCATCAAGGCTCCTACATTAAGGTATATTGTAGCCAGTTGTGTGGTTATTTGATGTAGATTCAGTTTATTTCCCATAAATGTATACACAGTTGACAGTTACACGTTGTAAATATGTTATTCACCGTTCATACCCTAGCCGAATATCCCAATCAAAAATACGAAAGTATTCAGGTAAGACCAAGACTGACTCAATTGTGGCTGTAGAATAAGGTGTGAAAGTGTCACAACCTAGGGTTATTAATGTGTTCTCTTAATGCAAAATTTCAACAAGAAGAACGCACAATTTTACTCGTTACGAGTAAATAATTAATTTTTAACAGAAAATTTTTCCATGAATGATAAATTAATAGCTTTAGATTGTAACATTCGTCCTTAGTTATACATGACCGCATTGGTGTTAATCTTGGTTTTTCCCGAATTCCTAGTTTTGAAAATCGTAGGAAACGTGAAGGTATATTCTAATTTGGTGTTGGGAGAAACCAGTTTTGAAAGAATGTTGTGGAGGCAGTATGAATGGAAGAAACTAAACCTTTGATCCTAGTAGAACCCAAGGAAAACTCTTCTACTATTTTTATTTTTGTTTCCCAAGTAACCATTTTCCGTTCTGCTTTAAGTGGCAATAAAGACCATATTTTTAAACCATTTTTTCTCCTTTCATGCTCCTCCATGTAGAATACACTTCACGAAATTCACTCTGAGCAGCATGAGCATCCCACGGTAGGTTTGATGCAGCGTGACATGATGTAACACCCATAATAAATGTCTTACATGTTTTGGTGACTATCTTTTAACGACCGGAAAGAGTATTTTTGTACCGCCTGTTTAATTAATGTTTCTAATAAATAGGTTGTAATTTGCAGAATTGGCATACACAAAAATGTTATAAATAGAAAGTACTCGCAAAATAGTGGCTAGTATTTTCTGCTTGTAACACTTTTTTGTACAGGAAAATTAACGCTTTTGCCACGTTTTTGTCTACCCAGTGGCACGGGCACATTAAGACAAGAGAATTGATGAAAACCAAAACATTTTGTTCCATTTTTACCAAAACGCTAATTTCGTTGTTTTTTATTTACAGGATTGTTAAGATACAAAGTGGATTTCCAGAGTTTGCAATTAGAGGATCTAGAAAATGGAGAGGAATTTGATCTAGATGATTATTAATTCCTTGTAAGGACTATTAAAACAGCATTTTGTAGGAGTGGTGCCGTTTACATAATGTGCAGTGGCTGTATTTTGCTCATACAAACAATGTGTTGTTAAGAATTGATATAAATAATTTTTGCATATACATACGTTTTTAGTAAAAAAATAATTATTATTTAAAAACATGTTTATAGTTTATTTATATGAATTTTTCATGATAATAGGTAACGTTTTAAAAGAAATTGTTCTCTATTACTTCAATTAAACGCAACTTTGTACTGTATTGTACAGTAAAACGGATTTGAAAATGAATTGAAATAGTAACTTATTTATTTGCGTTAACTGAGAAGTAACTACTTTAGTGAAGTTAATTGAATTTTTCCCTGGGAACACTTGTATGTTTGCATGATCTGTGTATTGAATTTTTAAACACTTTTTTTATTTTATCGATCTATCATTGGAATTGTTTATGATATTAAATATAAAGGTTTTTTTTTTTTCATTTTATTTGTGAGCTTGTTCCTTTTTGTAGTTCCTCGACCTCCATCTCAGTTACTGTAACTTTGAAAAATCTACATTCCCATGAATCTATTAAAGGCAACTACTTCTATGAAAGCTTCATTCTTTTTAAATTGAATTACGTCTCTTGCAATTTGTAGTAAAACATTCATGATTGCGACATGACGACCTTCAGTCTGCTTGTATTCAAATCATATCGCAAACATGTACATTTTTACGTATGAATTGTATAAAACTACGAAAATAAATTTTTTACGTAATATCCACTTATTGTACTTTTTTAAAAATAAGGATCCTGTGCAACGATAAACTACATATCCAGATTAGTCCCCTCGGGCTAACTGCAGAGGACCCTTAATTTGGTCGTTGACCTATCACCACATTAATGTACTTTATTTACGTTTTGTTTGTATAATTTATAGTCAATAAATAACAAAATATAACAATCCAGTTCTAATATTAGAAACGGCAATTTAACCTATGCACCTGAATTTTAAATTGCAGTTTCTAACATGTATAGTTTATTTAAATGGGATCCATACAAATTATAAAGCTTCTTGCACTGACACGTTTGCGCTGGGTACTTTAGGTAAATCGGAAATATCCAACTTGGCCAACTGTTCATCCAAGTCTGAACTGATACCACTTTCAGATTTATCTTCAGTTTTCATGAGTTCCTCCAATTCTTCTTCCAAGTCTTCATCTTCTGCAATAACTGGTTTTGAAATGGAAGTCTGGATATCTTCATGGATGTCCAATATCTGCAAAAAAACAATTGTATATATTGTTATTACTCATCAAATTTTTTACCTCTCCTAATTTAAGCATGGTGTCTTCAATTGCATCTTCAGACAATCCTGTTTCTTTGATATTGGTATTAAATGCAGAGAGAGCTTGTTTGTAAGACTGCCACACTTCAGCATCAGTCTGGGCATCTTTAATTCTTTCCAACAAAACTTGGACATTATGTAACGCGTTTGTTTTATGTGTTAAACGTTTTTGAATTTCATGTTTCTTCTTCAGGCAAGTTTTTGCAAGTAGTCGATGCCCTTTCAACAAATGTGCTTTAACTTCCTTGATGCAGTACATAACTTCATCTTCTAGATCTTCAACGTGTCTGGTTAAAACTATTTCATTTTGTTGCAACACATATAACGAAACATCAGTTTCAGAAATTGGAGTTATTACTTTGTCTTGATAGCCAATTTTTACCAGCAAAGACTCAGCATCTCCATCTTTTTGAACATTCTTCAAATCGGCCTTCTTTTCCTGAATAAGATAGTGTAACAAGAGCTTAACATCTTCACCTTGACTCTCGTTTCTAGCAATCAGTTTTAAAAACTCTGAGAAGTTCATAACCTTGTTTCTGTGTTTACCAGGAATAGTTGTTAAGATTTTCTGCGCTTCGCTATGAACAACACCTATATTTACATAAATTCTATCTGGGTTGATATGACTGGAAAACAGTGACTTCTTTACGGTGTTAAAAGACCATGATAATGGTTTTGTGACTAGTAAATTGGTGGCCCAACCACTCCATGTTTTTGGCGACTCTTTAGTAAAATCTTCGAAGTACTGTAAATCGCCCTGTTTGACAAGTTCTTCGAGAACTGTATCAAAACAACTTGGGGGCCTCCCATTTCGGACAAATAACTTTTTTAACTGAACTAAACTAAAACTGTACACTTGATTGTTAACACAATACAATGAAATCAAATGCTTCCAAGACGATATTTTAGTGTCCCAGTCTCTGGGATTAACAGTACGGCTTCTAAATGGCGAATATAAAGAATCCAGTCGAGCTTCATCTTTAAATTCTTGGGGTAGTTTATCGTCAGGAATATTTAACATGTTCGTACATGACAGTTTTGACATAACCTAAGAATTTGTTTACATGCATTCTGGCCGATACTCACTTGATAAATAGTAGAGGGCGCTCGTCGCCGCGATCAATTAAAATTTGTGCATACATTAATTCTTTCAAAAGAAAATTTAAACCCGTGTTATGTTTATTTATACTATAGGTATTTAATTCTGAAACTTATGTATTTATGGTGACGTGATTATTATTAGATGTGGTGCACTTACAGATAGCTGTAATAAATCCTAGCATCTGTCAATGAAACGTCATTTTTTATGAACGTCAGGAAATAGTTTGTATGTCATGACTTGGCGTGTGGGTATTCGCAAGTTATTTCGCGATTTTTTGCATGTAAGAAGTAATTAGCAACGTGCCTTCTTTTTCTAAATGACACGTAATAATATTTTTGTGAAACACTCCAAAAATACTTATTTCACTGTTAAGTGTAGTGTTATGTTCGAATTCTACAAAATCCAAAACGATATCAAAATGTTTAAAGGTAATGGGTCTTAACACCTCATGGAAATTACATAACTTGTGGAAGAGCCATGTCCAGAAATGTACCGTGTCACTTGCATACACCTTCATTTTTGAACTTTATAATTTATGTAAAGTTTTATGCTGATATATTCAGGGGTCAAGGGCATGGGCTTTGGTATGATCACCCGAAGCAGCGTGCTCATTTTTACTGACATTCACCGGGTTCATGTGCATAACATTAATAAAAACATTTAATATTTAATTAGAAGCGGTTCGTACAAATGTTCATTTTGCTTTCAGAAGTCGGAGCTTGCAATGGCGCCACACAGTTGTAAGCTGTGTCTGAGTGATATTTTTGCTATAATGGCAGAAGGCGAGAAAAAGTTAGCAAGAGAAGTTAATGGAGTGACGGAAAATGGCTTCTCAGATAGTCCATGTAAGTATACATATTCAGATTTGTCTAGCACAATTTAGGTCATATTCAAAAGAGCAATCCACTATAAGTACATCTTTATGTAAGCCAACAAAGTTAATCTACAAGAATTATCAATGCTAATTTATTCTGCGTCGTTCTACATTGTTTTGTAAATCAGTCCAAACGTTTCCATTGTTTTTTGTAGGAACTAAATTGCTTTCCTGTAAATGTATTCAAAAGCGATTTTTAACTAAATTTTTTATCGCGTTGACTAAATGTATTTTTTTATGTTTTTATGTAATCACTTTTTTTTTAATAGCGTAGCCTTATGAGTCACTATTTTACGCCATTAAAATTTGTAATTTTTTTTAACACAATAGTCCATTTGAACCGCCTTCTATCGATTTGCTTCAAGTATTTTCGAATTCCCAAAACTGTAATTTAGAACTGACTTGGCGCATAGCTAATCTGGAAAGTGTCGTCAAAATTTTACAAAAATGTGCGGTCAACTGATGAAATTAAAACAGTGAATCCTAATTGGTAAGTTGCAATTATGTATGTTTATACGTACACCTCGAATTTTCTTTTCAAACAATAATTTCATTATTAGTTGAATTATTACATAAATTGAATTTTACATAAAAATTAAATCAAAAATATGGCGGTCATTATTTATCTAAAAATGAAACTAAGTTCTTTTTTGTGGAAGACCAAACGTATTTTTTTTAATATGAACTGTTAAATGTATCATACATTTTTTCAATTGTTACCGTTAAGTGAATACGTCGACGCAAAACAATTGAAATTTTAATCCAGTATAAGTATCACCAACTTGTTTACACCAAGGTCTGCAGTCACATGTATAATTAAACATTCGAATGTAAAAAAGACCAAGGAAATCACCATTTATTTGTATTTGGTTTTTTAGAATCACATGTACAAACATTAGTAGATACATTTTTTCAGTTGATATTTTGTGTCGGGTCCGACAAACTACGGTAAAACGTTTGTCTTTTTTTTTTTTTTCTAGTTGTAACGGTGTTATGCTGTGATCACGCCACAAATACATAACATCACAAAAAATACAGGTAATTACCATAACCTGAATATCTTTTTTTGTGTGCATAGTTGCGAAAAATTACGAACTATAGTTTTGTATTTTCTAAAACTGTTATTAGAGTATACTTTAGTTCGTCACAAAAAAAAATTGTGAAGGGTTTTACACAAAAATGTCCTCGCCTTGGAAGCACAACAATACCAAATTAGTCAAGACTTTTTCCCTTTTTTTTACGAAATTTTTACAGTGTGACACTTACAGATGTTAATGAATAAAAAACGCTTTGTTTTAATTATTTTTTTTAATTACCTTTTTCAGTGTTTGACTCGACTGAAGTCAGTTTTTGTAAGAAAGTGCAGAAATTTTGAAATTTTAGAACAGTATACAAAGTAATCAAACAAATTAATTTTTTTATGACAACAAAAAAACAAAAACAAAATAAACGAATCAATTTAAAAAAAACGATTTTATAACATCTCCAGTGACACTAATACCGGGTGACTATTAATTTTTGAAGCAAATTGTTGTATTGGAAATTCTGAATTATTGACATCCAAGCTAGTACGTCAGTTCACAGTTGTCAATTTTGACATGAGGGCGCCTAACAAACGTGTTGATTGGTCCAGACGACGGCACTTTTACAATCAGGTATGCCATCATTTTAAACAGATTGCCAACCCGACACAAAAAATCACTACCATTAATAGTCACTCGATATTATATTTAATCACGGTGGTTATTTAACTGTGTTTCCGGAATTTCAGCAAAAGTTAGGTGAACTATTTTTTAAACAATCAGTAATCGATTCACATATATTTTTTTTATATAAACTAGATTAATCAAACCAGAAAAATTCAATGACAGACAGACATGTGAAAACGGGGGCCTGACTTTTTCTAACTCTAAAAGTTAGACATTCGCCATGACGTCATTAATTACACTAGTTTACAAATTTAAACTTTTTTTCGTATCCAAAAATAAAAAAAATATTTTTTACTTCTAAATTACTTACTGATAACAAATCCAAAAACGGATAATCCTTATCACGTCAGGTTTTTTCATAAATCCAAAATAATGAACTTTGCTTTACCTTCACGTTTGTGTTAAACTGATTCATGTTAACGCACAATTGTCGCATAAAAAATGTCTTCGAGATCGTGGAAAGTAAGTGCAAATCAGTTTTGTTACATTTGTGGTAAAATTATAGTACCTAAAGCGGGAAGAGCTGTTCAAATTTGCTTAAAATGAAGGTATAAAGGTTTTTGGGATGAAAATGTGTTACTGTTGGTCTATTATAAGGGAAACTGACAGTACTGCCAATAAAAGAACGTTAGTGTTAACCATTTTTAATTTTCAGTCATAATGTTTATAATATATACTGGGTATTGCTTTTATTTGATACAACCCCTGTAACTTCTTTATTCTTATAGATAAACCTGTATTTCTTTGAGCTAATTTGTATCATTTTAAAAGATCTTTGTGAGGTCAACCTCACATTTTTATTATCACTTCCCGTAGATAAGTCAAAAGCAACCAATTATTCTAAAATCAATACTTGAAAAATTTTAAATAACACATTGATGACAATCTAGTAGCTTGAAAAATTGACACTCATGTTATTTATTTACCTAAATGGTCTTTTAAAATGATACAAATTTGCTTAAAGAACCATATGTTCATGTATATTTAAAAATAAAAAAGTTATAAGAGTTGTATAAAAGAAAAAAAATCCGGGGTATATTTATATAAATATCTCAAAAACCTGACGTGATGGATTTTTTCTGCTTTCAGATTTGAATTTCCCGAACCCAAATCCTTCCGATTCAACTATTTTTGTCTTTGGATATAAAACCTTGTAAACTAGTGTTATTTGATCGGTACAAATGTATTAATTATGATGTGTACAACATAACGTTGCTGTCTTACCAGAATTTTACAGAAAATAGAAATGTAAGCATGTACATATATTGAAAATATAAATTTGTTTATACATTCATTTATTTACACCGTTCACTCTAATAAATTTTAAAAATGAAAAAACAGTTTTTTGAATAAACATAAAACGTTTTTTTGAAGTGAGTTTGCGGGGAATGAGAAAATATATATTTTTTAATATTCTACATGTACTGTGTTGTACATTTTCAACTATTGATATAAGTTTATTTTATTCTAAACTGCTGCTTCAGTAAACTATTCTTAATTTATTTTAAAAACCCTATCACTTCAAAATACATATATGTTTTTGGACGCAGGTTAATCTGAACTTTTCTTCTTATTTTCATGCGCGGAAAACGCCATTAAATTTTTCGTATATATTAATAATCACCTGTATAGCTTCTAAGAGCATTTATAAATTATATTATAAAAAACTGGTCTAAGTTAATAGACAGAATTTCATTTTTCTATGAATTTGTTTATAACAACCTCTATAAGTTAAAACAAAGAACTGTCAAAGAATAGATAAAAAATCGAGGGAGTTTTTCTATAAGAACATTTTGTGATGACTTTATCAACATTTTAACAGACACGTGTATCAATTTGAGTAGGTACAGTGTAATACTACATATATGATCGAAAAAAAACTATTCTAATAGACCGTGAAATTTATTTTTAAAATAATATGTTGGCAACACCAACGCGTTTGTTGTTCAGTTTGATAGTTACGGTCAAATCACTGTCAAATAAAGAACAGTTAGTCCAACATGTATATTTTAAAAATAAATTGCACGACCTACTAAAAGATTTTTTTATCGTAATAACACTACTACATCTTAAAATTTTCGGACAAATGCGGTAAATCATTCTTAATTTAGTCAATAAAATAAATTGCTTCATTCATTAATTTTCTTGAGTCGCCCTGCATCAGTAGTTCTAAATTAAAAGTAGGGCCTCAGAATTTACGAAATTTCTATAATAAAAATTAAAACTACGACTTTCGTCGTTTACAAAGGCCGTTATTTACAAATTGCGGTATTCAAACAGTATAAATTACGGCATTCGTACGCAGTGACAATATAAAACTGAAACTACGTTACCCTAGGGAAATAAATTTATTTTATAAATTGCAACTTACACAATTTACAAAGTACGGTGTCGGTCGTTCATAAAGTAGAGCCATAAATGTGTTTTTACAGCCTATATATTTTTTTGTTTTTCTACGACATCCAGTTTTTTAAATGACACTACATATTTTTTAACAGATTTTTGTAGAGCTTGTTTTTCTAAATCCATGAATGTATTTTACTTTACTCACCCGCCACTATCTGATTCGAACGCATTATGTTACGAAAACACACTTGTTTATATGTGTCCAGAGTGGCTTTGTCGTCAACCCATGACAGGAAACGGATTAACAACGCTTTTCGATTAACATTATTTCAGCATGGACACGTATGTCAATTCCGACACGTGCAGTATAATACTAATAATAAAACACTGGGATGTATCGACCTTGAGATTTGATCAATAAAAAAATTTAAATATAATAGATAACAGCAGCAACAATAGTGTAAAAATTGGTCGAAGGTTATTTCGACAAAACTTCCCTCACATCTAAAGTATAGTCGAACAAATAAAGTTCCGAAAAATTTTAAAATTTAACTTGAAATAATTTTTTTTTATGATCAGCTAAAATTAATGTGTGGATTGATAAAGTACAGGTAAAGAAGCATCGTCTGCATATGTTTCTAGTGAATTTTTCCGTATAAAAATTTATTGATGAAGTTCTCAAGATTTTAGCAAGGACACGGATATCACTTTGAATAGGTGCAGTGTAATTCTATTAATAACAGTACTGTATCCTCAAATTTTCGGGAAAATGGTGTGGGTAATAAAATATGTCGTCTCAGTCTATTTTTTTTTTTTTAATCAGCTTGTATAAGCAATTCTAAAAAATATGAATACATCAATAAACCACAAGGATGGACTGTTATTAATATTGTGTGTATTTTAGAATTATTCGGTAAAATTTTGAGATGACGTCATCAACTTTTTTGGGAGGGGATCAACAGATAAATTTTAATTACATGTCTTGGGTAATTACTTAAAAAAGATTCATAAATCACACATTCAGTACAATGCCAATAAAATTTTCCTAATTTTTGAGATGACTTAATTTTTTTTTCTGGAAGAGATAAATGAATTTTAGTCACAAAATGCAAAATTTCATTAATATAGTAATTATAATACTTCCTTTAGCTTAATTCGAGAACATTCAAAAGTAAAAAGCTTTTCACGTTATTTTTACTTCCCGTATTCTAAGGAAGTATTGTAGCAGGGTCCATCCGGCGAATGGTTTTTCGACGTTTCATGACCCCTAAAATGTGAAAAAATTAGGTCTTCCGTTTCCATCTGTCTGTCATCTGTGTCGATTTTTATTAGACAATCTTCGAAAATACTGGGCCTATTGTTGTTAAATTATAATTGTAAATATGTATATAAAATGTAATGCAATATAGTTATTATTATACTATTGCACTGCACGTATTCAAATTGATATACGTGTTCTTACTAAAATGCTGACGACGTTATCACAAAATTTTATTACAGAAAAACTCACTTAAAACAGCATAGCATGCTTCTTTAATATAAGTTATAGGTGTTATATCAAATTTTATAATTTTTCGAAAAAGCCGAATCCGTTGTACTGTATTTCAGGGACGGGGAAAGTTCTGCCTAAGTAACCTTCGACCATTTTTTTATTGGTCATATATCTTCACTATCACCACAACTTCCCGGTATTATTTTATTTGAGCTTAAAGAATAAACAAAATTTGAAATATCTGTATGTACTTAGTTATTAAATATGTAAGGAGTATAAAATCTCCAAATGTCTTTCGAAAATCCTTGACTATAAGTAAAAGGTTATTGATAAAGGAAATGAGTTTCTGCTTTATTTGCAAAAGTTGCTATATATATAAATGGCAAATTCAGCATTACCCTGAAAATGTTGGTTTAGCAGTTTTCGTAGAAATTTGTTGTTCAAAACGGGAAAATTGAGTTTAAAAAGCAGCGAGAAAAGAATTTCCATTTGTTTTACAATGTTCGATATCTGTGAATGCTTGGAAGTGTATATTTGGAATTATAAGCTACACATGTCGTGGACACGTGTAGATTCACGCTTTAAATATTCTGGTCAAGTTTCATATAATGTAGGAGTATAAAATTGCATCCTTAATAAATTTAAAATAATCTAAAAGCATCAAATTATTTTATTTAATTATAGAATAAAGTATATCAAGAAGCAGTGAAACTGTTAACTACTAATGATTAGGTATAACACAATAAATTTTCGTTGTTTTTAAATAAACAATTACCATTTGAATGCCGTGACACACCTTAAAAACAATACAATTTCTCGAATCGCTACAATTAAAAATGCACGTGCTTAAGTATGTCGTTTTTATGTGAGGAAAATGATAAGTTCCACTTGTTTATTTTAAAGCATTTCAAGTTAATCAGCATAAATTATTGCAACAAAACAGTGGCAACGGATGAAAGTCGAAACATGAACACTAAAATAATTTTATCGAAATAATCTACTCTTATAGAAATCACTAATAAAAGAAAAGCCGATAATATAGAGGACATTATCATTCCGATACACGAATTTGTGATAAAAACAGGTGTCTCGTATTTGAAAAATCCTTGTTTGAGTTTGTGAAAATGTTCTCCACAATGGACGAATTGGACATATTAGGTAACACTTTCCTTACACCGGGTAAAAATGTCTTGTTTTTTTTTTCAGCAATGCCATGGTTCGGCATGGACATAGGGGGAAGCCTATGCAAATTAGTTTATTTTGAACCAAAGGACACTACCAAAGACGAGGTAGACTCAGAAGTGGAAACATTACGCAACATCAGACGCTATTTGACAAAAAATTCGGCTTACGGAAAAACCGGACATCGAGACACACATTTGCAGGTAATTTTTCTAAATATGTAAGCGATAATAGTTGTAATAGTCGCAGAAATTAAATATAGTGTTTCAAGGACTAGTAAAACAATTAAATAAATTAAAGTATAGTTTATCAATAATTGCTATACTTACTACAAGTAGGCTGTTCAACGTGCGAATCATGTCAATTTGTGACGTACAGATGCACGTTTTTCAGGGCCGACTAGAAAGCTGTATTTTGAACTGTACCGTGTAGTGGTTATCTACAAAAGGTGATAAGATAAAAGTACTAACATACACAAACGTGTTTTTGCTCGATAAGTACACCGTATTTTTTGCGATTTGTTAGAAATTAGAATTTGTACAGTCAATAGGAAGCACTGATACCCTCGATCTACATGAGTTTAACCTTTTTGAACATGTACAAATTAGACTTAACTATCTGACACTACGATAGTGACAAAACGGTGGCCTCTGTTGCAGAACTTTTCAAAATTGTGAGAATTATTTGATGTAATTATCACCAAGAATGGTACCAACTGCTTCGGTTATGCCAATGTAGTGTAGCAGGTGTACATTTTATGATATATTTTTGAGGATTTAGGTTGTTTGAATGAAAAATATTTTATGAACTTTCTTCATAGCAACTGTAAGTAGTGCAAATTAATGAAAACAAGGCAATTTAATTTTATCCGTGCACTTAACTCCGACAGTAATCACTTAAATTAATATAACTTGAAAAAAGTGTACTTCTAATTTAGTTTAGAGGAGCTATATCGAAATGGTTTCAAAACTAAAAAACAGACTCCGAAGCCAAACATCGAAATAATAATAAAATAACAATTTCGTAGACTTTGTACTATGTTATCACTTGGAAACTTTTAGCTTGGAACTTTGTTAATTTCGGTATTATTGACGTTTTTTCATGTTTACTTGTATAAATATAATAAAAATATTAACCTCTTTTGATGTGTTAATTGTTAACCGACAGGTCGTCACGTATGTTTACTTTCTGCAAATATTTTTTATTTAAACAATTTAAATCAACATGCTTGGTGGACTTCGATACACAAACAGATTAATTTTTTTCAATAGTTACCCTACGAGAAGGACTGTGGTAATAAGATCGTTGCAATTTTAGATGAACGATGTTCATATACGGGGTAGAAGAGGAACCTTGCATTTTATTCGATTTCCTTCGAGCGAAATGGTTAATTTTTTGGCCTTGGCTAAATCAAAGGGGATGGCCAACTTAGTAACGACAGTTTGTGCGACCGGTGGAGGTGCCTTTAAATTTGAAGAAGACTTTAGAAGGGTGAGTATAACAAATTAAGAATCTTTAAAACAAGTGTAACTTTGAAATACGTGGCAGATAATTTGAGTACCGCAAAAGTTCTTTGTTCCGAAAACAAATATTAATTGTTTTTGTCGCTTATCTGATATTTTTATATTTTATTTTTATTAGTTCGTAAAATAAAACTTTAATTGCACACGCCTGCAGTAAACAAATATTTGAGGATCATGTAATTTTAAGAGAATTACGTGGTACTTTACGTGGGGACAATTTTTTTACAAATCAAACAACAAATCGGCGTCTTGTGAATTTTATGACCGGTAAAGCAGATACTTTTGTAAAAATTACTTTGCCAAATAGGTAAAATATTGTCAATAAAAACTTCATTTTAAGACGTTCTTGTCTACTGTTCATTTTAAGGCTTTAAAAAATCTTTGAAGTTATTTCCAGTACATTTCTGTGTATTATAAAAGAAATAAAACAATTATGAAATTTTAAAATACGAGTAAATGGGTACTGGATTTTGGAATTTTATTTTTTGTCGATAATAAATGCGTTTTCTTTTTAATTGGTGTGAACAAAAAAAAATAGTAAACTTTTTAAAACTGTTATGAATTGTAATGAAATTTATTACACCAATTAAAGACAACATTAAAAATAAATTGTACCTTGTGGGTGCCCCAGAATTCAATACCACATATCTTTTGTTAAATTCCTTTTGTTAGAATAATAAAATTTGATTTTGCGATTTTTTTTTGTGATGACCTCTATAAAGTGAAAAAAGTACCATTCTGTTTTCCGCTTCCATAATTAAATTGTAATATTTTTTCCAAAAATTGGGATGTCTAGGTTAAAAAGTCAACATGGATTCGTAAATCACACATGTGGGGGTATATTATTTTTTAAAATCTATTTTAATTAACGATTTATCTTGCTTACGATAACCTTAAAAGTTTGTAAGATTTCATAGCAGCAAAAACCTAGATGTCAAGCGTAAAAAGCCAAGACGGATTCAAAAACCACAAGTATAGTAGCCTTATTAGTTTATAAAATTTAAATAATATTAACATACAAACTTTGAAAACTAGCGGTCCAGTAATTTCGAAGATTATCTAAATTAAGTGGGATTTATAAACTTGCTGTTGACGTTGAAGTTCCCGTTGCAGTTGTCGTTGATAGTAACTTTGATGTTCAACTTCTGCCGTATTTAAAGGGGTTGTAGAAGAAAAGTGAGGATTTAAGTTGATTGCTACAAAAATTGACCATTTTAGACATGTGTTAAATTTTTTGTTGTTGAAATAAGTCAAAACATATTAAGAAAAAAAATGCAAAATGTAGCCCTGCCCACCCGCCCTATCTCAATTGTGATGATTTTTTAATATTCGCCGTGATTCAAGGGGGCGGAGCTTAATTGCAAAATACTTATTTCTTTACGAGAAATTAAAACCATGTTTTTGAGTATCGTGTTGTTCAAAGAATACTATGTATATTAAGAAACCAAAGATTAGTCTCCGCCCATACCCGCTCCAATCTCAATTCTCAATTGTGATGAATTTTTCGTTCGTTGTCAGATCGAGGGGCGGGGCTTAATTACAAGATTTGTCTGCAAAAATTTACCATTTTAAACATTGTTCTGAAAATGTGGCTATCTATATTAAGAAAAAAAAAAAAAGGCAAAATATAAGCCCCGCCCACCCGCCCTATCTCAATTGTCATGATTTGATTTTAAATCGTCGAGAGCCAAAGGAGCGGAATTTAATTGCAAAATCCGTATTTCTCTACAAGAAATTACCATGTAAGACAAGTTTTTGAGTATCGTGTTATTCAAAGAATACTATGTATATTAAGAAAAAATTACAGCCAAAGATTAAGCTCCACCCACACCTGTCCTTTGGACTTATTTTCTGGTTCGTTGTCTCAATTCCGATATTCTTGCACCGACATAGTTTTTAAGTAAATGATTGTGTTATAAGACTGTAATGTATTGTTGTTCTACGGGTCCTTTAAAGAGCCTTGTGCTCGCTGGGCAAATATACTTTATTATTATTATTATTATTATTATTATTATTATCTAAATAGTAATGAAGTTTTCATTCGTTGGCAGACCCAAGGGCGGAGCCTAATTGCAAAATCCATATTTCCTTACAAAAACTTACCATTCTCAACGTGTTTCAAGTTTCTAAGAATAAAACAAATAATCACAAATGAGATAGGGTGGGTGGGCGGAGTTTATTTTGCCTTTTTTCTTAATATACATAGTATTCATTGAACATCACGATACTCTAAAACATGTTTTTAATTTCTTGTAAAGAAATAAGTATTTTGCAGTTAAGCTCAAATCATTAACAATCAAATAAAAAAAATCATCACAATTGATACAGGGCGGATGGGCGGACTTACGTTGCCCCGCCCACCCGTTCTATCACAATTTGATGATCTTTTTTATTCGTCGTAAGCCGAGGGGCGGAGCTTAATTGTAAAATCCTTATAAATGTCAGCGACAAGTTTATAAATCGACCTTTAAAAATTAAACTTTTAGGGAGTGTTTTACATAAAATTTTCACAACACTAATTAAAGAAACTTTAAAATAGGGACCAAATTTTAAAAAACATTGGCAATAAGACTGGCAAAATACTAGTTTTTTGTACTCAACCAAAGTTTTTTATATGTTGGAAAACTATGGAAAAATCCAAATTTACACAGAACTTCTCTCTCCCTTGAAGTAACGTAATGACTTGATTGCAATTCACCAAGTTCAATTTTTTGAATGAATTATAAAATTTAATTCTACAAGTTTAGTTTCTTGATATCTTATACAGTTATGGACAAAACATGGTATATTTTGAAATTTTACAAAGATATGAGGAAGTTCGTGACTTCTTTTTTTAAAAGTAATCCACAATCCAAAATGCTGAATTGTGTTTACATTTCTTTTCAGGAAGTCAACATGAAACTAGAAAAATTCGATGAATTCGATTCGCTTCTAAAAGGGTTGCAATTTGCGGACGCACAGAACCCATCAGAATGTTATTACTGGGCCAACCCCACTGACGACACCACTTGTGCTAAAGTTCCATACGATTTCTCCAATCCGTACCCCTTCCTAATAGTAAACATCGGTTCCGGTGTTAGCGTCCTGGCCGTTTACTCAGCCACAGATTACAAACGGATATCAGGAACAAGGTATCATTGTACACCACACGCACAAACTTTATTTCTAAAACTTGTTTTGGTGCAGTTTAGGAGGTGGCACGTTTTTGGGGCTTTGTTGTTTGCTGACTGGATGTAATACTTTTGAAGATGCCATCCAATTAGCCGCGGAAGGTGACAATACAAATGTCGATAAATTGGTGCGTGATATATATGGCGGAGACTACGAGCGGTTCGGTTTACCGGGAGATTTAGTTGCGAGCAGGTAAGGATAAAATTACTTTGGCTGTAACATTCTTTCTTTGCTTGTCGTTTCTCATCTTGTTCGAGCGTCGCTTTTCTTTATTTTGTATAATTTCCTGCACGTTTGTTCTGTTTTGTTTCGTTGGCATTGAAGTTTCTCCGCCTTGTGTAGTTTTGGACAAATGAACTGTCGGGAGAGGCGCAGTAAAGTGAGTCGACAGGATCTAGCGAGGGCAACACTGGTTACTATTACTAACAATATCGGATCAATTGCAAGGATGTGTGCCACGCAGGAAAAGATAGACAGGGTTAGTACTCGATTTTATTTGTTTATTTTTTGGTACAGAAACGGTTATTATGTATAATTATCTTATCAAACGAAAAAATGCATATAAATGATATAATAGCAATAATAATAATGATTACATATAATTATAAAAATGCCCAGACATAACTACGAATGATAATCGTTATCGTCGGCTGCACTTTGGTGTTTTTTTTTGTTTTATGATTTATATTTAAAAAAATTGATTAATTTCATTACCAAATACGCAGATTGCTCACATTTTATAAACCATTTAATTGTTAAACTAACTAAAATTCCAAGTCCCACATTAATGTATGACTTTTGAAAATGGGACTCCTAGGTACACAGATATTTTTGGTCTACAATTCACTTCTCTAGTTCGTGAGATGTAAAGTCTCTACGGACACATAACAGACAAAGTTTTGATTTTCGATTCTCAACGTCGACCCAAAAAACGTGACGAGAAATTACAAGATGCTGAACTCAGCAATGTAAGCAATAAAAAGGAGAGAACTAGAACGGATGGATGGATCCCTTGGGGTCATCACTCGAAACACTGGTAGAACCACTAAAATCGTTACCTACTTTTACCTTGAGGTCACGACATTGTTAATTCTTTTTAACCTACGCCAAAACTTCAGTTTTTCATAATAAGTTTAAGATGCTATTAATTATCCATGTTTTTTATGAAAATTTTAGTGTAACCATCTTGTAATTCCAAAGTCAACTCATGAAATGTTCGTTGAAAAAGATCTCAGAAAATTTTGACAATGTCGAATTTACATTGTTTAGATCCTTGAAATCCTGATGATGTCAGAGTTCTTTTACTTAAGCATTAGTAAATTAGCTTGCAGAACTAGATGATCTGACTTCACCATCAAGTTCAAATGTTGTAGATGGACTACCAAATTTTCGCTACTAGAACCAGTGAGTCTTTAAAAATAAATCATCCAAGGTATTTATCAACCACTCTGCTTAATATCAAGATCGGATTAAAAAACAATTATATTGGAGTCGTCAGTTGGTGAGAAATTCAGAAGTTTGTAGACACAACCCAAAACAAAAGAGAGTGATCTGTTTGAAAATTTTTAAAAGGAAGAATTAAGAATTAATTGCTTGTGTATCAGTGGTCTTGATTACTATACTTCCTTAGCTGACGCCCAATAAGTAAAAATGGCTTCTCAGCAATAATGACAACTTGAAGTGTTCATGTTTATATATCGGAAGAATGTCACGTAGAAATTAGTTTGAATAAGTTTGTCGCCTCAAAACAGAGGACTAAAATTATTAATTAAGCCACAATCAAACAAAATCTTGTAAATATTATTATTATAATTCTTATTTTATCATTATTTTATTATTATAAGGACGTGCGCATTTTCACATTTTTGAGACTGATAATTTGATCCAGTGGCGGCTCGTGACTTTTTGAAAAGGGGGCACACAATTTGATTGATGATTTAAATATGAAAATATAAAACAGGTTGTTATTACCAATTAATAGTCGAAATTGTGTGACGGAAATAAATACAAAAATACATTCAATAAAAATAAAAAAGAATTTCTCCACATACCTTTTTGCCTTTGGTCAAAATTTTACGTTCATGGTATCTAAAATTTTGGACAGTTTTAGACGTTCTTTTAAAAACCATTGCTTCTTTCAAATGATCTGATAAAGTCCAATTCAGCCATAAAATCAATCAGACCTCGAAATATACCTGGAGTTTGTGATTCCCTACTTTCGTAATGTCCACGTAAAGCAAATTTAAACACTCCACAAAATTTTATGCACATTATCAATCGGCTAAGAAAAGACCAATTTTGGCAAATGACATACCCTCTAAGAAAATAGAGGGTGGGCGGGGCTAGTACTTGCTAAGGTAAAACTGAACAATATTAAGAGTAGTCCCTGGAATGAAGAGGGGGTCGGTGGGCGGGGCTACGACTTGCTTATAAGTTATAAGACTGTTTATAAAAGAGCTAAATTCACTTCTGCCCACCCCTTTTCCCTATTTAACTTGCTTATTTTATTTGCTATAAAATAGGAATTGAAATCTGTTTAGAGCAAAGTAAAACGTGGCCCCTTTCACCCACCCCTCCTCCGTTTGGATTATTCATTCTTATTGGCTACCAAGAATTAATTTCACGAGTCGTCAGTATTTAATTACTCAATTTGTCGATTTTTCAATTTTTGACGTCTTCAATTTTTCGAATTGCAATGTTTCATTTTTACTTCCCGAGCGTAAGCTAAGCCTAATACTTGCCAAGTTAAGACTAATTTTGGCAGATGATAAACTTTCTAATAAAATAGAGGGCGGGTGGGCGGGCCTAGTAATTGCTAAGATAAGACTGAACAATATTAAGCCTTTTTTCTATTTCATTGACTTATTTTATTTACTGTAAAATCCGTAGAAACTAAAATTTAAAGCAAAGTAAAAAGTGGCCCCGCCCTCCCACCCATACTCCGTTTTAATCATTCATTCTTTTTTTTCGAAAAAGAATTTCAGTTTTTAGATTTTTCAATTTTTAATTTACAATTATTATAGTTTTCATTTTAAATATGTAATTATAATATTTTTTAAATATTACAGTTTTTCAATTTTATTTTATTAAGAGTAGTCACTGGAATTAAGAGGGGGTAGGGGCCACTGCTTGCTTATAAGGCTCTCTAGAAAAAAGTTAAACTTAGCTCCGCCCACCTCTCTATTTCACTGATTTCGTTTATTTACTTTAAAACGGGAATTGAAATCTGTTTTAACATGCGCTGGAAGTACTTTTTATTGTGCCTCCCACCCACCCTTATTCCGTTTTGATCATTCATTCTTATTGGCTCTGAGGAAAGAATTTTTCACGAGTTTTCAATTTTTAAAAGTCGGTTTTTGGATTTATCAATTTCAAAGGAAATGTGCAAATGAAACATTCTGATATAAAACCAAGAAAATGAAAATTAAAAAATCGGGAAAATGGAAAATTGTAATATCGATAAATTGAAAAATTGAAAATAAAAAAACGAAAAACTGATATGGAAGATTTTAAATCGAAGGAAAAATGAAAACATTATAATATCTGATTTTGCCAATTGAAATATCGCAATTTTTAAAAATAACAAAAAATTAGAATTTCACTCCGAATATTTCGAAAATATTGCTCTGTGACTCTAAAGACGCTATATTTTTGGAATCAGCACGTCAAGATTTATAACACTGAATTTATTGAAAATTTTTGGACGACTTTTTCAAAAATGAAATTTTCTCTAATGCAAATTTAGAGCCATTTTCGACGATTTTCGAAATTTAACTAAACACATTTTGTAGATTTCAGGCCGCAAAAGACACTCCCGGGCTCATTGTTTCGATAACTGCAACCGTTTTTCCAGAATCGCCTATTTGGCAGTTTTTAAAAATTTCAAAAAATTCGATTTTCACTCGGAATATTTCGAAAATATTGCTCCATTATGATAAACACGTTATATTTTTGGAATGAGCACGTCGAGATCTATATCCCTGAAATTTTTCAGAATTTTCAGATAAGTTTTTGAAAAGTGAAATTTTTGTATATGGCGATTTTTGTCGACCTTTGGGTTATGTGCCCAAGTATTATTAATATAAGCGGTGTGTAGTTGTTTCCGAATGTCTGTATTACCGAGAAGATTATCCAAGAATATTCATCATACGTATTCGCGCAGAATGAAAATTAAAACCCGCGATAGTAACTCAATCCTCCCGAGCACGGTCAGAACGGGACCACAGTTTAGTGGTATCAGGTGCATATCAGGCGACTACGACGTGTGGTTTACATGGCAACGGTGTAAACAAAACATCTAAATCAGCCATGATTCGGTCTCTGTGCCCGGTTTTTATCAGCATTTCATCAGAAATAACATAACATATATCCAAGACACATCTTTAGATGTAAGTGGAAGTAAATTTTTGATACATTTTATACAAGTGGGGCAAAATAAAAAAAATTAGTTTTGATAATTATGACACAAATTTCCGGATAATTTTTTAAATATTGAAAATTATCAGTGTGTTTGTAGACGTTGTAATTTGGGGGGGGGGGGGCACGTGCCCTTGTGCCCCCCGGCACCAGCCGCCCCTGATTTGATCAATACAATGTCTGCGAAAACCTTGGAACGTCTGCACATTTCAAAGCATTCGATTTTCAGTTCCTGATTTATATTCTATAATGATGAGCCATTCATCAATTTTTTTGAGTTCCCCTGTATAAGAAATTCTAAAATAAAGTGGTAAATTTGTTGTGTAGTTTTTCGAAATCACTAAGTGTTATTGTTAAGCACAGCTGGGGTTTGTTGAGGACCCAACTAGACAAAAAAAGTCATAAAAATTCCTTCATTATTCTCGGTTAACGGATGAACTTACCTTAAAACGCTTCCTACTAACATTATTATTGTATTGTTGATGAAAATCCCGCCACGTGTTAAATTGAGAAAAAAACAGAAAACTGTCCGCGTTGATCCCTTTATACATGTTCCCGATGTTCTTATGATTAAATGAATCAAATTCCCACAACACAGAGAATGTCCAAATTTCAACTTAAAAGCGTGTACAAAAATGACACTAAATATAAGACAAAATAATAAAATACCCCTCGCATTCCGAATCCAGGATGATATTAATTTAACTGATAATAATTTTCAAAGTTCTTTCTCTCTAATGTAAGAAGTCTCTTACGATGTTCTCCAATAGTTTATTATGGTTTTCTAATCTGAAAGGTGTAAAACTTCGACTATTCCTCAGCACGTGCTATGTTTGTTTTATTTTAAATTCACAGCTCACCTTAAGACTTTCATGTGTTCATGGTTTAATACAATTTAACACCGATTATGTAGATGTTCCTATAAAAACACGTGACGGAAATTCACTTTTTAGAACCCATTTGTTATAATGATCTATCTAAAAGTTGTGGATGTTTTTATTTTAGTTTTAGTTCATTTATGTAATTTAAACTAATATTAAACGTTAATTCATTTTGAGAGAAAGGACCTTGAAAATTATCATCAGTTAAATTAATATCATCGTGGACTGGAAAGTGGAAATGTGAAGTGTATTTTATGTTATTATTTTTGACACAGTTTTAATTTGAGCATTTATTCTCAAATTATTTATTATTTTAACATTGACCACATTTAATTTATGACAATTACGATGTTAATATGGTATCAGAGGTTCCTGTAATGATAAGAATGAAACTCTATCCAGTTCTGTAACGAATTGTTATCATAAATTATCTTGATTATATGCGTAAGGAACAGACAGTCGCCAGACAAAAAATATATTTAATCATTTACTTGAAAAAACATCAACTGTCGACAGAAAGCAATAAATATATCTTAATTAATCTCCCTTATTTTTTTGAGATAATATCGTATAATCTTGAAAGTTTTATTGAAATCAAATGAGCTGTTTTTGTGATATTTCATTAAAATGGTTGTCATCAACGTTAATTTTTTTACGATAGGTAAAACTACAACATGATCAGCTTTTAGTGATTATCACGCGACTAATTTTGATCTGTCATCCTATGCACAAAGATAAAATAGGCGGATTATTAAACTTTATATAAAGGAAAGATTACATACTTATTGAGCATTATACTTAATATTTTGAGGTAACGTCACCAAGTTTTTGGAGAGAATAAATTGTTTTTATTACATTATGTTACAAGGGAATATAAAACTTCAGTGTACTTCTTCAAGAATATTCTTGAAGAAGTTAAAAAAGAAATTATTACTAATATCCAGAGTTAAGCAAAGCCGAAGTGATGGTGAATCAATCACACAAATATTAAATACGACGGCGCGATGTCAGGCGATAAATTTGGCTGGCCGACTGTGCAGTCTCAACCTCAGTGGCGTTTGATGCAATTCAGGGTTTATCTGATCAAGATCATCACGAAAATTGTGATGTTGAACAGTCATTTTTAATTTTTAAAGCATTTTAACGTCTAGGAGAACTCGTATAACTGAAGAAAACCTAGAAAAAGTAGTCATTGTTATTAAGATCCACGATCGGACGGCAATGAGCATCACTGCCGCGATGCCGAAGTCTGCTGATATCATATGGTAATAATCTGATAATGTAATTTCATAAATATTTTAGAGAAATTAAACACGTAAAAATCATTGACAAAATTTCAAAAAATCAGACCATCAAACACCTTTCTAAATAGGATACGTTGTGGGAACAAATTTGAACATTTTTGTTTGTCGCTACAAGAGTTATGATTGTAGGGACATTTTTTAAATGGAAACTTCTTTTGCATCCTGACCAAAAACTGAAGGAAGCGTAACAAATAATTAATGTTTTCACGACGTTTTACAATTTGTAGAATATTAGAAGATATTTACCCGTTTTTGCCTTGTGGCGATTTTAATTGACGTCATCTCACAATTTTGTGTAGTACATGCTACTTGAAATTTATAGCCTGCATGTTCCTTTGCGTGTGGATTAATAATAATTTAAACGTATTTTTAACCTTAGGCGTGGGTCATCTTAAAAAAGATTTAAAAGTGACACAGAATTTGTTTTGGAATCTGCGTTACGCACTTCTTTCACATTTTACTAAAGATAAATATTTCTTAGACATTAGTTTAATCTTGTACGCAGTGACTTTGTACTCGATTTAGCATTTAGTAATTAAAAATGAGACGATGCATTTAGAGTAACAATTATCTCTTTTGTGTATATTTTGTGACTAATGATTTTTTTTGCCGTGTAGGTAGTTTTCATCGGTAATTTTCTCCGAGTGAACCCCATCGCTATGAAGCTCCTAGCGTACGCCATGGATTATTGGTCAAAGGGAACAATGAAAGCCCTCTTCTTAGAACACGAAGGTTATTTTGGTGCAATTGGCTGTTTACTTCAATTTCATGACGCTAGAAGTTGAATGCATCTGAACCTTTACGTTATGAACATTCCAGTGAAGGTGTCGGATTTTAGTACAAAATAAAATAATGTTGGACATTTTAGCGAAAATGGTTAATAAAAACCATACTATTGGCGTTTTATTGTAGATTTTGTACACTGCTTTTATATATTTAAAAAATAGTGACGTTTGAAGGTGTAGAGGTTTTTAACTATGTTTTTCTATGTTAAAATTTTATACATTTTTTAATAAATCTTCATAAACAAGAATTTCAAGGTGTTGGCCAAATACTGGTACGCGAATGACGCACATGTTTTTTGTTTGTTATGTTTCGTTGTAAATGTAAATTATATGGCACAGAATCAATCATCTGTAATTAATTATAATTTTATTAATAATAATTTATCTGTGGAAATGAAAATCAGTTTACTTATGTAAAATATATTATTTTACTTACATCAGACTTTTATTAGTTTACCAAATAAATTACTATAATCTTTAGGGGTCCCATTAAAAACTGAAAAATCTAAGACGTTGACGTGCTGGTCGGTAACGGTGAACAAAAAGTCTGCATCGTACGACAGACTGTAAATCGGCGAACTCTTCCCAGGTCTTCTGCAACTCTCCATAAAATACATCTAGATTCATAAAAAAAAACGTTAATTCGCACATACAAAAAAAAATTGACGTCAACAACTCACCTGAACATAATTATCTTGTCGCGTATCCCATAAAACTACTCTTCCGTGACTGTTAGTGCCACTAATAATAGAATTGACGTGGTCATACTGGAAGCAGTAAACAGTCGCAAAATTTGGGTCACCTAGAGCCTGTTCACATTTGCCTGTTCTCAAATCCCATCTTCTCAAATAACTATCATAACCGCATGACCACAAAACTGATGCGCTTTCCCACTTCAGATCCAGGACACCAGCGCCCAGTATATCTCCAAATATGTCAGGATAATAATGCGCAAAAAAACTCTGCCTGAGGAGATTTCATTTAAATGTAAAATTATAAATTAAAATTTCGTGCGTACTTATTCATATCAAAGATGTGAACTGTAGACATGTGGTCAATTCCGTCGGTTCCAATTGCTAGTAACGATTTATTTTCTTCCGACAGTGCTACTGACCAAACCCTGCCTTGTAAATCAATCTGATGAAAAAAGGCTTCATTGTCGTCCGGTTTATGGCGAATTTTTACATAGTTATCTCTTGAACCGGACACTATAATGTTATCACAGATATCTACTGAATTAATATCTGCGTCGTGGTAACTTTTTAAATCGAAGACAAAATTGTGATCGTCCGTGGACCATAGCCATAAACTACCATCCCTACGAATTTAAAAAAGTATATTAGATGGATTCAGCAATGTATGAAAGCGCTGAAGAGATAAAAATTATTAAACCCAACGTTAAGTTATAAGTGGCAAAATGAGCAGTTTTTAGAGTCACTGCTTCTTTTCTATCAAAGAGGATGCCAAATGGTTGGCGAAACGCGTCACCACACTTGCCACTTTTTTGTTTTAAATATCGGGAAAAATACAACGATCAAATTTTATTTAGTGTTTAAACTAATAGTCACCTAAATGGGACACCCCATTTTTGACATAACTTATAGTTATCTTCTTCCAATAATGATAATAATAATAAATTAAACTCTGCTCTTTTTAAAGATTAAGCTTTTGTCTTAAAGTAAGTCATTTCTTTTTAATTATGGAAAAAACATGTTTATAATTTATTTTACTTCAGGTTTACCAACTCACTTGATCAGTTTTCATAACTGTGTATCTATGAAAAACAGCAAATAATTTAAACAGGATGTAAATCAAAATACAAAACAGTAGACTTTTATATTTTACAACTTACTATTATTTTTTATCTAATTATTATCATTAATTTGTAAAATCAGCTTCAGTAAAATATGCACATGAAAAACAAGTTAAATAAGTGAAAAAAAATGGACAAAATAAGTTTAAGACTTACATAAATAAGGTTAGGAAATACTTATGATCTCCCTTCAACGACATCATTATATTTAAACAATAATTAATAATTTTCACCTTGCATAAACCCTTTACTAAGCCTACTACTTACATCTGACCACTCAATATGTAATTACTTTTTTTGACAAAGCGGCACACATCAGCATTTTTGCTTCCTTTGATGGTGTACACTACATTTCTTGTATTAATACCTTTACTACTACGTTTGTAGGCTTGAATACAACGTCCTCTACTAATCCATAACAGATTTTTTTCTAGTTGTAACCAAGGAATATACTTTATCTTACTATAAAGCAGCATACGTTCTTTGTACAAGCCCAACTTCCAGTTTCTGGATACTCTGAGTCGTTCAAATGATGATAAAATGCGGCCTGATCTACAATGCATTATGTTAAACAAAATTCATTATGTATTACAAAACATTACCGATTGATGATGGCCGGATGGACTTGATTTGTAATAAGGGGCACAACATTTTTATTTAGCAAACTGCCCCACTGTTCTATTACTTCGTTAAATCGTCTACACGTCTGTTTAAGTCTACACAAATCATAAATATCTAAGGATTTGAATATTTTTAATAAAAGTTCGGTGGATAATGAATCCAAAGATAAAACCATTTTTTTGTGAAACAACACACAGGTAAGCTGAAATTAGTTATTCCTTTCACATTAACTTCCATTATTTAGTTATTGCAATTCATTATGAAATGGGTACGACAATTACACTTTATTTATTTTATAACATAACCTCAATTATTTTAATGAATTTATTTTCACGTCATGTCATCTGTGTCACGTGTCTGAATGCATAAGTTAAAGAAGCGGTTACATGATTTTTAAACAGAATCCAATAAAATAAAACAGTCTGCAATTTGAACACTAAATACTTGAATTACACTGAAGTTCTATTCTCTTTTTCCAAATACTGTGATTATTGTAACTTATAGAATGATGTTCAAAAGAGTTTTATTGTATCTGGTATTCTGGTAAAAATTAAATATAACAGTTGCTGCCTAAAACCTACGAACCTACTATATATAAAAGCTTCTCCTAGTTCTCTTTCATTTTACTTCTATCTAGATTTTGAAAACTGAACAGAAGAAAAATGTTAAGTTCAAATCGAGTTTAAGTAGATATCACAGATTAAATGTAAATAAATGTCATACCAATGACTATAGACTTTGAATTAATAATTTCTACATCGCTGGTTATACCAGTGATACTAATTATAGCTAATTATACCTAAGGAATTATTTACAATGTCATTTCTTAGTGATTTATTTTAAATTCTTGTACCTCACAATACACAGAAAAGTTTAGTGTGTTGGAATATTTTCTGTTGGCATAATCGCATAATTACATGTCCCTAATAAATATACTTCGGACATTTACAGAAATTGCATAAACTGAGCGTAGGTAAGGTTCCTTTCAAAGAGTGTGAAAAAAGAGATCTCCCGTTTTTGTCTATTTGTCGTATTCTCTTCTGCGGTCTGTCATTTGTGATAGATATTGGGGATTTTATTAAATAGATATCTCTGAACCAACTGAACTGACTTTATAAAATTTTATAATATATTTTAGAAATAAAGTGCAAATGGTAACCAAAATTTGCCTGATCAATAATCATCCTCAGCAACAAATTGATGACGTCATCTCAAAATTTTGCATAGTAAATGCTATTTAAATTTCATAAAATAACATATTTGTGCATATATTTGAAGGTAAGCAGAGAAAAATGTGCCTCGGTGGGAGTCGAACCCACGTCTTTGCTTTGCGGGCAAGTATCTTTACCACTGGACCACTAGGACACTTATCTTTCTCTGCTTACCGACGTGTTATTGTACCGCCACATATGGTTCTATAAATCCAAATTTTTGAAGAAAATCTAAATTGTATCACAACATTTTACAATTTAACTTATGAGCTGCAATACCGAATGGTTTCAAACCTTGCAGGTTACTAAAAAAAATTAAAGAATGGAGAAATTTATTTTATTGATCAAAGTAAGAATGGCTCACCCCTTTTTCCAAAATCTAGCTGTACAGCATTATTATTAGTACTAAACTATGCTTGAAAATTGATGCATGTGTTGTGTTGTGGTGTCTTGAATTTGAAATTTAAATTTCGCTCTGAGAGAAAAAAACACTACGCCTGCGAAACCACATTTGAAAATTTAAAAATAAGAAAATGTATATAAAACATTTTTTTATTTATATACAGTGGCGGCCAAAATAAAGTAGGACACTTTTCTTTCCCTTCTGGAACTTTCAAATTTGTATTGACGTTTAAGTGTCATTTTTAATGGATACGTTTTCAATTGAGTCCAATTTACATGTTTACGCATACTCTTCTTCTAGAGGTTTCGTGATCGGCCATCCTGACACCGCACGATGAGTCATCATCGCCGTACATACTAGAACTAGAACCCATAGGCGTTATAGCGGGGCGGCGTATGGGTTTCTTTCGCAACACTGCCCCCCTCCTTAGTTCTGCTCGTCCCGATCAGAAACGTCAACGGTATCACTGTTGTACTTCACGGGGCGGTCTAAATGAACAATCTTCATTTTCGTTTTCGGCCCTCGTCGAATTCTGTAAACAACATCGTTGATTTTTGTCACGGCAATGTATGGACCTTCCCGGTCTGGTGACAACTTCGGGCAACAACTTTTTCTTCTTCGGGGATTATAAAGTCATATCAAATCCTCAGTTACCCTTAAGGTCCTAGCGTGTTGTCATTCTGTCACTCGCCACCCGAATCTTGTGGCGCACCGTTTCGTGAACGCTCAGCAACTTCTTCTTCAAGTCATCGACGTACTCTATGACCTCCTTTGGTTTTTCACTCGAAGAGCCGAACAAGATGTCACTAGGCAGAGGAAGTTCTCTTCCGAAAACTATGCGCGTCGGTGTTTGACCCGTCGTGTCATGGACAGCAGAACTCTAAGCCAGTAGGAAGGTGTCGGTGTCGATCCCAATCTTTCTGATGTTCGGTCACCACCTTCGAAAGATGCTCTTCCATAGTACGATTGAACCGTTCTACCATCCCATCTGACTGTGGGTGCAACAACACAGTCCGTGTCTTCCTAGGACTTCAGTAACCTTTTGGAATAAGTTTGACTCGAAGTTTCTGCCTTGGTCTGAATATAATTCTATTGGGACCCCAAACCTGCAGATTCAATTATCAATCAGCATTTTTGCAAACGTCGTGGCTTCGTGATTCGGTGTGGCATAAGCTTCTGGCCATTTGCTGAAATAATCGCTGACGACCATTATGTACTTATTCCCGTCCTCGGTCACCGGGAAAGGGCCTGCTATATCCACCGCAATTCTTTCGAAAGGCGAACCTACGTTGTATTTTTGCGTCGGCCCTCTCGCTCTATATTCTCGAAGTACTTCCTTGGTTATAATCGTCGGAACCACCAACTGCATGGTGGTGTTTCCCATGCGGATTCTCCCAAGCTCGCTTAAGCAATTCATTCTCGACACGCAGGTTCCACTGAGCCCATACGCCTTAAAAGAGGGTAACTCGTCTGATATTTCCGACCAAGCTGGCCGTTCTGCCCCATCTTCTTTCCATTTGAGCAAGGACCTGATGTCAACGTCCTCCTCTTGGTCTTTTCTAAGCTGTGCTGTAGTCCATTCTTCATCTTTTACGACTGCTGTCCTTCCACAGTTGAACGACGTTTCACGCTGATCCACATTATTGTGAAACTTACCAGCCCTGTGTCGAATTCTGAAGTGATACTGTCGGAGTCGTTCAAGCCATCTAGCTCCTTGTCCTTCGGGATTCTTCATCTGAAGGAGCAATGTAAGCGCTGCGTGATCGGTTCTAATCAGAAATTCGCGTCTCTTTCCTAGTGGCACAGTAGTTCTTCTCGGGTCTCGAAAATACGCTGCTGACGTACTCAATGACTTTTTCTTCTTTGTCCTGCACCTGTGACAATACAGCACCTATTCCAATATTGCTCGCGTCTGTGTCCACGATGAACATTCCCGATGACTGAGGATAGGACAAAATAGGACTAGAGCATAGTGTATTCTTCAATCTTTTGAAGGCTGCCTCACTTTCAGCAGTCCAATTAAATTGAGACTTCAAATCTGTTAGCCTGTACAGAGGAGCAGCAAACCCGTTGACAAATCTTCTGTAGTACGTGCACAATTCCAAGAAACTCCGAACTTCGTGCTTATCTCTTGGTGTTGCCCAATCGCGAATTGCACTGATCTTCGTTTCCGTAGTGTTGATCCCGTTTTCCGAAATAGTATGCCCCAGAAATTCTACTTCTTTTTGGAAGAGGAGGCAACTTCTTCGGATTCAACTTCAAATTTGCCTCCTTCATTCGGCTAAATACTTCTTCAAGGTTGGTCAAGTGCTCCTCAAATGTCTTTCCCATTACCATGATGTCGTCCAAATAAACCAAACATGTTTTCCATGTTAGCCTCCGCAATTCCATCTCCATTAGTCTCTCAAAAGCCGAAAGTAGCCGGAGCATTATACAGTTCAAAAGGCATTACGGTAAATTGACTGGATTCAATACCGGAAACCCTTCATTGCCAAGATGTAGGACTTTCTCTACTGGATCGACCGTCAATCCATGGCGGCTAATCAAATCCATTCCCAGAATGAAGTCGTCTTCAATGTTAGCTACGAGAGCCCGATGTTTTATCTTCAGTTGACCAATGTAGATTTCTATCTCTGCTTCACCCATGATTGGCGTCGACTCTCCAGTTACGGTCTTCAATCTGATTGTTTCAGGAATAGTCCTTAGATCTTTAGCTCCCAAGAGTCCTCTACGTAGGATTGAGACTTCAGTTCCAGTATCAATCGTCATTGCCACGCAATTCCCATTAATCTTCTCCGGTATAGTTGGACTACTGCCTTCGGTGAAACTGCCTATTTTCACTTCCCTGGGGTCCTTATTCTTACCAACCAGCACATTCTCCAAAATCCTAGCTCTCTTTAGTTTTCTTGCACATTTCGTTGAGGAGATCTGTGTTCTGTGCTTCTCCTTGGAACACGACAATCGCGTTTGAGATGTCGCTGGCGCCCACATCTATAACACTCCATGCTTGTCTTAGGAGGCGCACTGATCTTTCGTCCTTGAGCTAGGCCATTTATTATTTGCTGTGAGAATTTTTCCAACATCTTTTCGAACTTGTCGTTTTCTTCCATCTCTAATTCTGTCAATCTGACTTTGTGGTACGTTCTTGAAGGATTGTACTTCGCTTCCACTTCCAGCGCACGAATCAAGGCCTCAGATGATGTCTGATACCTTGCTAGTTGTAGGACCTTCTTAACTTCACCGTCGCGAATGCCATTTACGAAGGTTTCTATCGCAAGCGTGTCCTGAAAAGTTGGTGGTGCGTCCGAGTATGCAAGCCGTACCAGTCTCTTGACGGCTGTTCCAAATTCTTAAAGGGATTCTCCAACTTTCTGGGTTCTTGTCTTCACTGGGGCTGCAAAAACCTGTTTCAGATATTCACCCCAAATCGAAGTTCTAGGGCAGCAATTAGGGCACTGTACCTGTTCCTATTTTCCTCGGACAGAGTTTGGAGTATCTCTAGCCCTGCACCTTGCAAAGCTATTACCAAGGCTGTAGCTTTCTGTTTTTCTCCCCAAAGGTTCGCCGTCGCTGTAGCATCAAACTGCTTCTTGTAAGATGACCAAGGTGTCTGACCATCCTAGGTGGGTGGTTGAATCGTCACATAACATGAACCACTGGTTGGTGCATTTTTGATAGTTTTTTCAAATTTCTGCATTCAATTTTCTATAGTTTTCATTCGACCTTC